GGTGAGTCAAACACTATGCCATTTTTCTAGCGAGGATGGCAAATTATACTGTACATTCTTTTCTGTTTTGTCAATATACACTTGCAGTTTAGACCCTAATACATGGATGTTACGTTTCAAATAGATTTGTTTGTCCTAGCAGTAAATCTGTAGGAGCATGTTCTATTGTGAAAAGTGTAACTCTCAGCTTTTATCATATGGAGTTCGACATGTTTGGACAAGCTGACCTTATCCCTGTCTGTGCACAGTTACTGTAGTTGTCATACCCCACTTTCCTTGTGAGGAAGCATTTCTAACCAAGTGGGTCATGAACTGTTCTCCATGGGGCTCTAATTGGGAGAGGGCCTGCACATTCGATTCTCAGATCAGTTTAACAGTAGTTGCATCTCGCAAGTTGAACGTACTGTAGCTGGGCACTCACCCACAGCTATCATTGTGGACTTGCATGTTCTTATAAGTACTGTATATATTTTTATAACTTACTAATCCAGGTGCACCATAAACTGTGGAAAAGCTCGTAGAAAAACCTGCTTCAAAATGAACCACTTAGCACTAACTTTCCAAGTAGTAGTTTACATTCAATCTATGAAAAGGTTGAGTAATTTAGGAATATTGTCTTGTTTCCAACTAAATTAGGGGCATAGTTTAGATAATCACTTATTACGATACAAGAAAAAAGGTCCTGGTAAAAAGTATATCATTAAAGCTTTTCTTTTTAGGGAAAGACCAGTTTCTTTTATTGTTTGTTCATTCTCTTCAAAAGCCAAAGTCATTCCAAGTAAATTTATTAAATACAGTAGCTACCTTCAGTTGTGAATCTGAGGGATCTGAAAGATGGTCAACGAGCACGGCTTGTATTGGAATATCTCGGACCATTAAGAGGGTCCATTGCTTTCTTTTCAGTTTTACTCACATGTTGTCCATAAATCAAGACTTTTAACGGTGTGCTTTTTTGGCTTCTCCTGGGGTAGGCAAAGTATTTAGCATAATGATACGATTAGTCAGAGCCCAGTCCTCTGGCAGCCTGGGAGCTGATTTCGCGTTCTCTCTGAGCACTCCTTGCACTTTCTGATTACTTAGAGATGAGTGGAATTTCTTGTCCATTAGAGAAGATTGTTTCTCTTCTTTATTTGAGGAGCTGTGCCTCCGTTGCGCTGCGGTACTGTACCTCATCCAAGGGAGCAGATGTTGTGACTTCTTGGCCACAGACTTGCGGCAGTTTTGGCGATTCGGGCTCTTGAACGCCCTCATCAAATCTGTTTTAACATTTTCCTGTGCCTAATTTTCGCCTGTAATCTGATTACCAGCCTGAGCTGCTTTAGCATGCAGCCTATTGCGATGCATGCACTGTATTCCCTAAGCCCATCGATAGCTTGACAGCTTCAGTCTGTTCAGGACTGCTAGTAGGAATCTCTACACACTGCCTTGTAGGCAGGCCTTGTGCTGCATCTATACTGGTTGAGGAATAGCTGCTACCTCTTTTCCTGTTGTTGGCATTTTCTCCCTTATTGCAACAATGTTCAGGAACCCCTGGATCTCTAATTACGTCGGCGCTATGAAGTATTGTGGACAAGGTAAGTGACCTGATAGTATGCTATTCGGAAATGCAGTGTTTCCAGTGTCCTTGCATTATGTAGTCTGAAATTCCGAGGACGCAGTTGAAAGGTAATGAATGAAATAGAGGGATAAGGATTTTCATCTGTGAGTTTAAAATGCAAAACAATTAATGATTAATTCAAAGAGTCAAAAGGATGTTGTCTACAATAGCAGCTTTGATATGTGCATCGAGTTTTTATTTTTACTAGCGTTTCAACGTGCTAGTATTTACAACAGGTGTCAGCATACTTCATGCACATTTAATAAAAACAACCGCAATGTAATTCTCAAGCTTAATTCATCGGTGGAAGTCCACCAAAAAATGTAATTTCAGTATATGGTAATGGCTTGCCTAAATGAGATGAATCACTTTATGATGTTTTTATTTGCCACTGGATTTTTTTTTTTCCTGGCAGCTCTATGGGAAATTTTTGCCTTATTTTCAAGATAGGTTTTGAATGTGTAACACTAAGAAATACAGCGTTTTGCTTTGGAGCAATTACTGTAAATTTGTTTAAATTCTAACTGCAGAACATCCTTCTTTAGGATATTTTTAGAATTTTCTATTTCTGGGAGCTAGACATTTGGATAATCATCCTCCTATCACCTAGCTTATTGACTATAAAGAATTCAGACATGTTCAGCATCTGTCTGCAAGTAACTCTCCCTTTATATTGGTTAAAATCTACTGCAGCTGAATTGTTTACTTCTAGGTTGTTGTGGCATCTGTTCCTGTGTACATTTGGTGAGGGAGTTTTTTTTTTAAAAATGAAAATGCGTATTTGGTTATCCTTTGAAAACAACAGTTAGACTGTTTTATAGACTTCTTCAGTGTTACTTAAACAATTGTTTTGCATTGAATATTTAGCCTTTGATAATTGCATATGAACATGATTTTATGCTAAATATTTGCAATTTAGTTTGTCAGACCTGAAAAATTTGTTTACTTTCCTCAATTAGCACATTACTGAAAAGAATAAGGAAATGATCTATTCTTTAATGTGCATCGTGTCCTGTTACATCACATTTTTAGAACAGGACAATTAAATTGTATAATAGGAGCTAGATTTTATGCGGCCTTCTAATTTGACGGTTCTTAAACCTTAAAATACTACATACTGTGTAGGCATTAAACATAGGATTTATGCTTACTTCCGTTACTCTTGTGAGTTTATAGAATATCCTAAGAGCTCCTAGAAAGCGTTATATACGCAATTCAATTTTTCCGTTTCAGCTACGTCAGTAAATTAGACACAAACATAATTTGTGTGCATATACTGTAAAGGTATAATTTCCACTGTAGATTATGTAGTGAGATATTTGGAGATGACATTTTCAGTTAATTTAAGGCACCCTATACAAAATATTAGCACCTCTTAACACTGGAATCTTTCACCCTACTGTAAGTAATTATGAGGCACATAAGAGAAAACCCAGTATAATTCATAAAAAGTGAAGGACAGCATGCTTTTTGTAACCTGCAGCTGATGGGGATGATTCCAATGGTGTTTTTTCACATTGGAATACCTATTACTGTAGTTTTACGTTCCCTAGTTGGAATGTTTAATGTATATAAAAAGTCTGTTCGAGTCTTAGAAATTTCTTGCATGCCTTTAGCACTGCTATAAATTTTACTGAGGCCTGTGTCTGATTAGGCCCTCTTTCAATTCCCCTTATGTTGCACAGGCCCATAACCAAAAAAATATTCCCTGAGGAACATGATTCTTGTATGCACATGCAGTTTATTTTAATGTTGTGAACTAAAAATAATTTTGCTTGAAGATGCAACAACATGGAAATTTCTATGGTATATTGAAAATGGAAATATTAGTATATTATGAAAATGTCATTTCTAAAACATTTTCTGATTTGTCAGGTACTGTATGAACCATAACATCAAAACAGTATTAAATAAAATGTCAGTTACTTTAATGTCCACAATGTTCTTTATAGTTGTCTGTCAATTAGAATTGCTTTATCAGCTGTTGAGCTGAATTCTGAGAGGGATTTCTTTCGAATGAGCAATGTTTTTGGAGGATATTCCTTGCAGCTGAAATAACACTATATATGAAAATATATCCAGATGAGCATTTTATAAAAGAGGTTTCTGACTTTTAGTGAAGACGCGATATGAACAGCACTAATATCTATACTGAACATTTTAAATGAATGTCTTCTGTTTTTGTGACTGCTGATGTTCCCTAAGATGAATTGGTAATCTTGTGAACTGAGGTGTATTCAGAAGTGGAAACACCCGTTCATAAGGAAAATAAATTAAGCAGATGACTAACTTTTAGTCTACCTTTTATACGTCAGTAGAAACCACACTGAGCTCTGATAATGGCTAATGTTACAGTATGTTAGGCAACCAATTGGTATTAGTTTGCCAAACTTCTCAAACCAGATCCTTGCCTCTGCTTGTTGAACGGTTTGGTTAATTTTACTTTAAGCGAGTTCTTGTTTTTTGCTGGCTTCACAGCAGTGGAAATAAAAACATTCTTCAACTCTGGATAAACCCAGACATTCCTTCAGATAAACACTGGTTACTCACTTCTCAGTATATTGCAAACTGTTGAATATACAATGGCTAGAATTAAGACAAATCCTACAATGCAGTCTTGAGAATGGATTTTTACAGCTATTAGAAATATCTGCCTCTTGAAATCGGTGAATACACATACATATAGAGTACACTGTATTAGCATTACATGAGCTTTGTATTAAATTGAAAATTCAATAAAAACATTTGGTTGCCACAAATCAATGGTGAAAAACAATACAATAGCTTTCAGGTCTCTTATAACTAAAGTACGTACTGTATGCCCTTTGATTTGTACCCAACGTGGTTGAAGTCATTTTAGCAGAGATCTCCACCTGTCTTGGGTTCAGTAGCTGGATAAGTGTATTTTCACTAATAGAGCCTGTAGTTGGACAGTTCGATTAACACCACCAGCACTTGGCCTGCACTACTATTGTGACGCAGGGGAGGAATGACCGAGCAAAAGCACAAAGCAATCAAAGTGTTCGAATGGAATCCTTCCATAGTTAGCCCGACTTGAGCTGGTTATTTTCCTTCCAGTAGAGTTATTCACAGGCAGCAGTCTTTCCTCCCCCTCAACTTTAGTAATTGGATCCATACAACAAATCTGTATATAAGGTAAAAATTTGGGTAACAGCTGAAGCAATGTGTGAAAACACAAGCTGGTTGTCAATGCTGAGGCTCCATGATGTTAACAGAATGAATTATATGAATGTTGAGTTGAGCTGATTATCAAGTATGTGCCTTTCTAGGTTTGAATAAAAATGATCTTTAGCAATTTATGGAATTGGTGGGTTTCTCTGATCGTCACAGTACCTCTAAAGTCCATTGATTAGAGGGGCAAATCAACACTGCTGGTCTTAAGTTATTTTCCTTTGAACTGCTGTATGATTTTCTCCTGCCTGACTTACAGTAAAGCAGTAAACAATCAGATCTGTTAGCATGTTAAGTTTTTTTATTATAACAGCTAAGCTGTAAAAAAAAACTATTTTTAATTTTACTTCCCACCCAGGATAACCCAATGGATAATTACTGGATAATAGTTTTCTTCTCCAACTCAACGCCTACAATAACAGTGGAAAGGCCTGCATTACCAATTCTCTAATCTGGAACGTTAATTTATGTAATTTTTTTTTATTTATAGGTTTTGGAAGTGAGACTCCAGTCAAACTTGGGAAGCCAAGACTATTTCAGAAGAGAGCATTAAGGTGAGCATTTGATAACCATTCTGAATCAGAGCGAGGACTGTTTACAGATGACCCCTTATTCATCTGGTTTATTGCCGTGTTCTTTGTTGAAATCTGTAAGAAGGTTTGGTACCAAAAGCCCTCTAGAGAAAGTCCTCCTTTTGCAAGGCTGTTTTTGGAGTTTTTCTTCTTTTCCTATGACATTTGTAGAAATGGGGAAAAGTACAGGTTTATTCCATGCTGAACAGAGGAGAAAAGAAACAACGTTTCGGCCGTGGAGTCTTCATCAGGTGTGAGCCTTCTGGTCACACCCGAAGAAGGCTCCACAGCTGGAACGTTTCTTTCTTTTCAGCATGGAATAAACCTTTTATTTGTTCCTTTGCAGCCTACGCGTGCTGATGCAGCTACCTACTTGAACTATTTGTAGAAATATTCTTACATCCATTGTCTGTTAAACAGTATACTGTAAGTTTTTTCCCCCTTTTCACAACATAGTGTGCTGTTTAAAAATATGGATTGGATCTGCTTAATTAAGGTGGTTTATTTTGTAGAAAAATAACTCAAACGGATCTTATGTTGGTGACACTTCTCAATTTAGCCACATGAAGCTGTTCATATATTTCTGTGCCATTCTTTCACTTCCTTGCTAGTTTTGTGTTCCCAGTGAAATCACTTTCTGTTGATACAGCATCATTTACTTGAAATGCTCCTGTTGCCAGTGCTTTTTTTTCCCATCATAGATGCTCTAGGATCTCATTGTTTGCATTCATCAGAATGTGTGAGCCACTTGAGGGTCAATGACTTATTTCCTTCTTTAGCTCACTAATCTCATTTGAGAGGATCTGTCTACATTCAGCACCTCTTAAAGAGATTATGTCCGGTACCCATAGGCTGGCTATTCTGAATGTTCAGGCCTTTTGCCTAAACATGCCTTAATTCAAAGATGCAGTTAGGTTCTTAGATTCAACCATTTGGCATGAAGTTTAAATGTCCATGGATAGTACTGATCTATATTTGACAGACATTCAGTTTTTACTTTGGTTAATGCTGGTATCCAAAGCAAGCAGAAGTCAAAGTATTCATTCACAGCTTGCACCTCATCTTGTAAGGTAATAAACTTGTACAGTATGGTGAGGTAAAATCTTATAAGGTACTCCAGACAGACGCATTTAAATTTCTCATTTTTAAAGATGAACCTGTACTTCATTGAAGGAGTGTAGGATGTTTGATTAAAATTGCCCTCACTTTAGCATTCTTCCAAACCTAATTTTAATATTGTTCACTGTCATGATTGCATGTACTGAAGCTCATTCTGTTGAGACCCAAGGTGAATATATTACCTTAATTGCGTAGATGGTTGGAAACGGGAAGAGATTTTGAAGTTGCCTCCTAAATTGAAACAACAAATTAAATACTTTGCCATTATAAAAATGTGCATCATTAGCATTCACAAAGTTAAGACTTTAGCTTTTCAGTATTACCTGTAATGTTCAGAGTGAACAACTGATGTTACTAATTTGAAAAGGGAGCATTCCTGTAACAGCATTAAATATCTGAATTTTTAAAAAGGTATGGTACTTAAATGACCTAATATCTCTTCTGTTTAATGGCAATATTAAGACCCCATCCTGTTTTAGTATCCCAAAGAAGTCATGTGATCACCCCCAAATTGGTCACATTTGTATTTAAAGCCACAGGACCTACTTAATGGGAAATAGGTGAAATTTTGTGTCATGGTCACTTGCATGTTAAATGGAATGCAGAGTGGATAAACTGTAAGTTGTTCAGAAAGACATTGAAACGGATGCCTCAACCTTACTTCATCGCTCAGTCAAACCATCAAAACTTGATACAGCGTTGTCCTGATGTTAGAACCAGATAATCTAAACTTCATACTGTAATCTGGTTAGCAGTAATGTGGATATCCACACTTACGGTAATTTCTCATGATCTTGGTGTACACGACTTTAGGAATACAGGGATTATTTTTTATTGATATGATTTTGAGAGGTATGCTAATGATGTATAAAGACACTAATTTGTCTATGGGAATGCCATTAACTTTTCTTTTTATTATACAAATGAAAGCTCCAAAGGGGGGGAAAAAACATACTTTTAATCATTCAGAACTTGTAGCACTGGCTTAGCAGATTTACAACCCAAGCATATATTTAGTTCCTCAAATAACTTCAAAGGATCAGATAGGCTAATACACTTTAAAAAATAATGGATCGGCTTTTAATTCACCACTGCCAGAAAATACTGTGGATTTTCCCATTTGCGAAAGTATCTAAAGGAGCTTTGTTACTCTTCCATTCACTTTTCAAAGTGTATGTTTTTGTGAAGAGCACAACATACGGCAAGTATGATTCTAACCACTTCACAGAGTTTATTCCCCGTTCTCTTGTCCTTCATTTTCAGTTTTCAGAAAGAATTTTCTTTTGAAGACAAAGAAGAATTTGCAAAGAGTACCAGAGATATTGATGCTAATATTTTGGCAGTCCTTCCAAAAGGTGAGTTAACCTTTTCTACTACTGTAGTAAAGAACATGAATGGAATGGTATGTACAGTAGCATCAAGCATTGGGATAGTAAAGATTGAAGAATGCAGATTTAGGGCACCTAGAACTTTTCTATATTTTTCACTTTGGATAATGGGATCAAACTAGTTACGTATTTGATGCCAGTTTATAGAGCACGTTTAGACTGTGTAAGGTGGTTGGTTGATGTTTTTCAGTTTGGGTCTTACAGTACCATATGAGAAGGGAAGGAGACGTTTTAAAGGAGAGCTGGCTGTGCAGCTCTATTTAAAGCTGTAAACTTTCATCAATCACCTGTTTGCTGTTCGTTAGCACTTTGTAGTTACCTCATTCTTTTGGAGTTAACTTGTAAAGTAACAAGGTTAGTCAGGGGCATTACACTGTTCCCATCTTGGTCTTAAGCAGGCTGTAACTGAAACACTAAGTTAGGTAGATGATATGAATAATCCGCCATGCCTGGTATTTACTTAAAATTTGTACATCTTATTTTTGTGTATCTTGTGTAATTAAGTGTTTTGGTGTCTTTAACATCCATTACTATGCACCTCTGACTTGTGGTTAAGAAAGAAAACCACCATTAGGAGGGGTAGGAAGTGTGAATACCACATTGTTTACTACTGTACTTGCTAAGATCACAGCAAAACTATTTTAACCATTTCAAATTTTGCTTTTTTTAAGCCAGAAATGTTAGCTACAAATTTCTTAGCCAAAATGTTTTCTATTCTAAATAACTTAAATTCCCCATACATCTTTCAGAGAAAGGTCAAAGACGACAAAGGAGCTAGAGATTAGAGAAATAATGAACGATGCTAAGCCTATTTTTGCAAAAATAACTGAAAGCAGTAGCCTAACTTTAGTAAACAAAAATAAACATCAACATTTTCTGGTAAAATGTATTATATCCAGACCATGTTTTCATTCTAGTATACAGTATCCTAAACCACAATAGATTCAGAAAAAATATTTTCTCAATGAATATTAAAGGTTAATGCTTTTAGACCTTTGTGGATTGTCTTAATAGAACTTTGTTTAAATTAAATGTAGTTAATGCATTTTTAAATGCAGAAGAGAAATGTCTCGCTGAGTAGCCAATTGGAAGATGAAGTTATTTGCAAAATGGTGTTTACAATTGTCACATTTTCAGTGGACTGATGTAAGCGTCTTGCACATTTTTATTTGCATTTAAACATTTAATTTCAGTACTCTGTATATACTGCTAAAAATGCTTCCAACCAAAATATTAATTATGGCTTCAATACAAACAGGTAGTCATTCATTTTTTTTCCCCCTAGTCTGCGTTTTACCGTTACAGACTAACAATTGCTGGTGTACTGCATTTTTCTCTCTAGTCTGTGGTCTTCAAATATTTGCTGTTATAGACAATGTTTTGGAAGTGTTTGGTCAATTCCATGAATCACCTTAAGCCTTATACAGTACCACTTTCTTGCCATTGTTTGATACAGTACTTTTTTTTAGGTTTAGTTGCCAGTAGTGCCAACAAACAAATCTTTTTCAAAGTAGCCAGCAGCTTGGGTGTCCTTTTTATGAAAACCAGAGTTGTTTGTTTTCCCACCCTGATGCACTTTTAGTTCCATGATTTTACAAAGCCTGCCTCATTTTATCTGAGGTTTGCTATGATGTATGGTACCTTACTGTATTGTGTGGTGACAAGCTACATTGTATTTAATAATATGCTGTTAACCCTGATTGCCCTAATTGAAACAAATAGTAGAACCTTTTTAAAAACCTACTTGTTTCTGATTAGGTAAAAGAGAAAGACTTCATCTTCAGCCCACAAACCTTTTAATCCAAATTGCTTTTTGCTCAAATTTGTTTTTGATACATTGTAAATATATAGCCACCTTAGATGTACAGTAGATGATGCTCCTGCACTGTTCTGGCTGAGACTCGGTTTAGAATCAATCATGAGATATGATTTCAGATCTTACTAAGAACATTTGCCAGGTCTTTTGCTTTCCTCTATCTTTCTTCAGTGATATAACTACCAAATACTCAAAAAAACTTCCCTAACTCTTAATACCTTGTCAAGTATTGTTCAGGGAAAATAATATGAAAATTTATGTAGTTAATGTGTTTTTATGACCTGGCAGCACTGCATGTTGTGCTCAGTATGGTCGGTTTTCTAGGTTGAATACAAGTGTTTTGTATTTTGTGCTGTCCAATATTCTTTACTGCAGCAGTTACTGCATTGGCCTACATAAACTTAGTTTGGAATTACACCAGTGCAGTTTGTGTTCTGGGTCATGTGTTTTTTTTTTTTTGCAGATAAAACTACAAGTTCAAAGCATAAGATGCAATGATAAGGATCAGATTCTGTAGATGCATCATAGGATATTTTAATTCCAATAATAAAGCAAGTAGTCCAAATGTGTAGGATGTTTATTAATTTGTATGAAGAAAACAAGAAGCATAATGTTTAAATCTGTTTTGTTGCATGTAACGGAATATAACACTTAGTCTTTGATATATAATATACTTCCTTATTCGCTACCATTATAGTAAAACCACCTTTGTCTCAAGCTTCTTTGAGAATTATGTCCTGTATATAGAATAGGAATTGTCAAAGCCTTTGCATAAAAAATGCGTATTAACTAATGTCCTTAAAGGTCAATGTTTTTTTTATCTACATTATGCCAGTTGATGTCACATTCAAACTACAGTATTTACTTTTTATAGTTATTAAACATGCTTATGAACATTGCTTAGTTTAGCGTGGCTGTTTTCATACATCTTTCTCTGGTAATCGTAAGATCTTTGCCTCATATTTTTTTGGTTACTAAGCTGTTTGGAAATACAAGAGAAGGTATTTTTTTGTTTTTTTTTTAGTTCACACAGAGAGGGGAGGACTTCAAACATGCAGCTGCTGTGTAATGTTTAGAGCCTGTACTGAAGGTTCTAGAACTCTGACCATGAATCTAGACGAGCCAAGTGTGAATCATTTTTTCTTTTTCAATGTAACCCTTCTTTTGGAAGGGCTACATTGATTTGTAAATCTTACATGTGCATTTTAGTTATTTCTGTTTTGCTTGTCTGGAGTGATTCCTGAGAAAAACAGTACAAGTTTAGAACAGAGCCATTATTATTATTAGTTTAATTCTATCAGGTGTAGGAAGATCTGTAATTAACTTGCTAGGATGTTTTTGCTCTATAAGTCAATCTCACCTCAACTTAAAATGCTGACAAACTCCTGCTTGACAAAACTTTTTTGTTTTCACTTTTTGGTGCAGTGAAGTTGCAACAGATTTGCATCTTACATTTATTAAGTCCATAACACTTATACCTAAAGTCTTTTATATGTATATAATGACAGTGGTTCCTGGAAATGAGAAATGAATGCTGCTCTAAATTTGCTAGCAGTCTTCTTTTATGTATTCATTCATTGGTGTGCCGGTTATAACCCTAAAAGTGACAACAGTTCTTAAAATTCACAGAAACCTTCTAAGAGCAGTTACATCTTACTTTTTTAATGCAATGTTTTCTTATTGTTGAATAAAACATGAAACATACTGGATCATTTATAGTGAAATACTTAAGTTACACCTGACATTCACCTTTGGAAACATGGCTCCAGTTTGGCTGGGATGAGTGGGAAATTTTAGTGCAAGCCTTTTGTCTGTACAGCTTTTTTTCTTGACTAGCTGTTTTTGTTTCATGCATTTATGAAGGCTTTATGTGCATCAGGTGACTGTCAGAAAAGGCTGTTTATTAAAATTGAATGGTTTTGCCGTTTTGAAATTTTTAAAATAGAATTAGCATTAGAATAGAAATAGAATTATTTTATGTATATAATCAGCTGTGCAACCTCAGTCTTGCTTCCTAAAAAAATGTTTTACACCATTTATACTTTACTGAAATATGATAATCATACACATTTTCTTATTTTATATATGATTTCTCTTTTTCCTCCTATCAGTTTCAGAACTAAGGAAACGTTTTGAACCCGACTGCTCAGCTGTGTTGGAAATGAACAGGTAACAACTGTTAGATTAATCAAGAGCAGAATTGATGCGAACAAATGCTAGAAATCTAAGAAGAATGAAGCATTACCTGAAAGTCATACTGTACTGATCTAGGAATGTTTGGAGTTTTTTTTCCCACTTTTACTGATGTGCATGGTTTGCAGTTACTGACGGTGCCTTTGTTTAAATGTCTCTATAGGAAAGAGAGAATTGCCAGGCGGTTAGAGGGGATTGAGAGTGACTCCCAGCCAGTCCTGTTACAGAGCTGTGCTGGGTTAGTGTCTCATCGCCTGCTTGAAGAAGACACTCCACGATACACTCGGGCCTCTGATCTCTGCAGTCCATGCGCAGGTACCGTAAGCACAGAGGTCGGGGTGGAAAATCTTTGATAACTGTGCCGGTTTTGAATAACATGATGGCTTCAGAAACCATGTTCTTTGCAGCACTGTAGAAATATTTTAAGTGCACCACTTGACAAAACATGTTTTCAATGTTACGTTTTATTGCTTTGTTGCCAAACAATATTCTCAATGAGAAGATTCTGATTGCACTTGACTTTTATACTGTTTGGAAGAACAAACCAATATGCAGCATACAGCTGATCTAAATTAAGGAGTCATTGGTCTTGCAGTAATACAGCTAAGAAATTATCACAAAGTGTTGATTGACATGAAATGCATGGACTACTTTGTTACTATTTCACAGCAAACTTTTCTGATCTACATCTCTCATTTCCAATCACAGCAGTGCAATACTCTGGGTATTCTGTCACTGGGCATACAGAGCAGAACATTGCATGCAGTACAGTGCGACATTTAGGGCAGCCTTTGTGCTTTTTCATTCATTCCCTAATGTTCAATGAGGTTGAGGTCAACTGACTGACACAATTTTAGGATCTTTCTTCGTTCTGATGAATGTAGGTTGCCTGACAATTTACTGGGTCATTATCGCTCACAAACAAGCTCTTCAGCTAGAAGCGGCTGAACGGGGAATATTGCAAAGTTGCATTCAGATTCACTCGGTTTGTGTCAGTTTTCAGTGCATTAAAATTAAAAAATGTGAGCAACACCACAGTTGAGTAGTAAAGGATAATTCTCATTTTGAATGTGAGCGATCAGTTGTGATCACTTTTTCAACGGAGTGATAGATGTAGGAGTTTGACTAAAGCTTTGTTGTTTTTTTTTTTTAAATCCTGCTAGTAGTGAGAAGGTTTAGTAAGGAAGAACTCGAGATCCCGGAGACCACCCAGGTCACTGCTTCAGAGAGGATGTCCAGAGCTAGATGTCGACCTGAGCCTCAAGCGGGCCTCACGGAGTCGACGTATAGCTCCGGAGCCCTGGACACCGCGGGCCTGGAGTCCAAGGCCGAGAGGATAGCCAGGTACAAGGCGGAAAGGAGGCGCCAGTTGGCCGAGCGGTACGGCATCTCTCTGGACCAGGAGCTGGACGTGGACTACTCGTCCCGGTACGCACGCGTGCGGAAGGAGCCGGACCCGGCCGAGAGGCGCCCCCCAGCGGAGCCCAACGAGCAGCAGCGCCAGCGAGACGAGGAGGAGAGCCGAGATCTGAGCTCCCTGTACAGCACCCGAACGGGACTCGCGAGAGAGTCGAAACAACAGGCGCCCTCCGGAGCGAACGCTTCCCGAGAGGCGGCGGCGGACGGCTTCTCGGACCGGGAGAAGGCGATGAATTTGGAGAATTACAGGCGGGCCCAAGACAGGAGTGCCACGGCAGGGCTGTATGATCAGTCATCCTTTGCGGATATTTCCACCTCTGCCAAGGTGCCAGGAAAGGAGCTCTCCCTTACTGGGGTGCCAAGCTCTCCTCAAGCTGGACGCCGCTCCTCCCTTCCATCTCCAAAGCATGGCATATCTCCTGGTGACCTCTTCATTGAGCAACAAGCCCACAACATTCTCCACAGACAAGGGTGAGTGCTGTGAAACAGGAACCTTTTGGGTGCCACAGTGGAGACTGTGACTTGTAATAATACAGTTTTGTCTACCAAATCACTTTCTCCAGTTATTTTTTTCTTGGCCCGTGTAATATGTGGTTGGATGCACTGTTCTGTTTTAATTTGCTAGCTCAATATTTCATTTAAAGGGTCATCCTTATAAGGCTTTCCAGTGCGGTGCAGATTGATCTGAAGTAACTGCAATGAAATTGCATTGAATGTAGTGAAAGTTGGGTCAGTGATTGTGCTTTATTGCATGCCTGCTGCAAGTCTTTCATACAGTTTAACAGCACTTTGTCGTGCAATTCCATAAAACATCAGACTATTTCAGTATGCCTATGTGGACAGCAGGTAGGCCCATTCTTTATAATGTGTGGTATCGGTTTATCTATAGGGAATTAATGGGTAACATTTTCTTCTAGGGTTCACTTTACTTTTCAATCGTTAAACTGACTGAAAGAGTGAGGAGTTTAGTTCCACTTATTTCCTTTCTGTTTGACCTTATTGCAGGCAAGTTCAGTAGGGCAAAAGGGGGGAAAAGAAATGGCTTCATGACACTAATGCCTCCAGTCTGCTCAGTCAAGTCTGGCAGCTGCCGCTTTCACTGTGTGGATTTCCTTGATACCACGATGACAGTTAGCCCTTCAGACTTCATTAATCACCAGAATTTAATTAGAAACAGTTTTAAAATGTTAAATTCAGTCACTTAGAATCTTGCATCCAAAAGTGTTTGACATGACTATTCTCTCTCCTTATTGTCATTGTAAAAGTAAGCCTTTAAAGGATTATGACTACCTTATCTGTAATCCATTGTCTTAACAGTTTTTTAAATCACAAATTTAGCAAAACGTCAAAGCTCTGCAGGGATATACTCTTTTTAAAGCATTGCATGTACACTGATGTAGTGTACAGTTGAGGTTCCAATGTTAAAAAATGCAAATCTGCCATGGAACAGTTGTGGACACATGCTTCTTGACTTGTATCCTACCAAGCTGGTCTTGAGTTTCAAAACTTGGCAGCTTGGTAGGGGTCAGGTTTCACAGCATACCATGTAAGTTATCACTGGGACTGAAACACAATTACAGCCACTAGTCCACAGCTGGTCTTGATAAAATTCAGCATTAGCTCATAAATTAAAGCATAATATTATAAATCCATCTCCCAAATTGTTTTGTTACTAACAAATGAAGCTTGGAGAAAAGATGACTCTCTTCTTAAATATGTGCCTCCTTCAGTATGTATGGCATTCAGATGTTTTTTCATAGTTTAAGACTCTGGTCTGGAGGTCAGACGACAGGATTAAGTGTTCAGACTCACCCACTGACATGCAAAGTTCAGGTGTCTCTTGGTGCATACTGCACATGAGTTAGTGTGTCATATTTGATGACAAGCATGTCTGGTAATAAATAAATGCTTTTAATGGCCAATAAAGATGAGTATTTCCTGAAAGGGAGAGTGTTGGTGTGCCCCCAGTTTTTGTAGTGTTGCTGTTTTTTTCCCCCATCTTTGGCTTTGTGTTTACCTAAGTTGTCTTTTACCACATTCCTGTGTAGCCCTGTGGTAAAACCAAAGAGCGATTGGTTTCTTCAGAAAGATTCAGAAGGCGAGACACAATCTCTTATCAACTGGCCCTCCAGGTATTATGGGTTGTGTGGATTTCTAATCCTTCAATCATTCCTAACAAGAGGTCTGCTAACTTTTACCAAGTCCATAACATCACACCCTGAATGAGAAAATGAGCTCTAATAAACCTTAGCAACTTTTATGCACTTAATTTGTGTACCATTTTAAGTGATTTTACAAATGAATAGTTTCCTTTTAATTTTTTTCTAAAAATACTAATTTTCCAGCTTACAGTTTTCCTAGTTAGAAATGCACACCTTATTTATAAATCGGTTATGCTTCTTGCATCTTCAATTACTTTGTGGGTGTTTTTATGCCATTGTTAAAAAATTAGCTCCTAGTCAAACAGGAGCAGCCCAAATAATAGTTAAAACTGTGCTGTAAGGCTCTATTTTATGGTTGCCTGCCCTGTAATCATATTATACCAGACAATCTAAAGTAAAGACAGGCATCCTTACTTCAGGGGGAAACTAGCCCAACAGTAACTTTTTTATGAACTTTCTGCATGGCCACTGTGCAGTTAAATGCTTGTCAGTGGGACTGGAATTCCTTGCATTTGAAATTAAATTCCCGTACTCGGCTGCCTCTGCTGACTGTGTTTAATGCTCACAAAGAGGAGGATTGTCTGGATGCAGCCGAGTCAGGGAGCAGCCCACTTCCACTTCCTCGAGCTAAACCACCAGCCTTCATGCCAGTTGAGCTGCAGTCTTGCGGCATACCACCAGAAAATCACTGTCTACCTTCTTAACTAGAGCACTTGGGTATGAATGTTTGGCAGCTGGATGCGTGTTTGTACAGTATGTGTGGAGTTCTGGTTTTGTATCAAGTGTGTTATCTATTCTGGTGTCAAGGCCTTTCTTTTTGCTTAGGAGGGAAATACTATTTTGCCCCCAAAAAACTCCTGTGAAGAAATAAAGCAAACCATTTTGGTATTAAATAGGTTTCTCCATGCAGTTGCCTCTTTCTGAGGCCTTGCATGAATAGTTATTACCAGCAAGTCTGTTATTTTATTATTGCTTGAAGTTGTTATTTGTTAGCATAGGTGTAATACGATTTATAGATATTCAGTTGGCTGAAGTGCTACTTTTATCACTTTAGTAGAGAATCCACAAAAACTAGTTACCAATGTACACTGAAATGCTTCAGGGTAGGAAATCTAAAGAAATTATCTCCCTCTGTATACTGTATTGTTTACATCTTAGTTATTCTCTATAAAAGATTTCTAGTGTTCAGCAGCCATATGAAAAAGAAAAATAACCTCTGGTGGATACTTCATTCAGATACCTTGTATGGTAAGAACTGTGAAATATAGTGTAAGCATACTGGACAAGGCAACATACTAAACTAGATGCTCCATCTGTAATTAGGCAGAATAGAAGCAATTCATTTGTATGAGTCAGATGCTGTTTCTTAAAGTGAGTACAGATACCAGTTTTGCCTTGTTCAGACTTAACTGAAGATATTTAAATAGTAGATGTTCTCTATCTGAAAATCGTAGACAAGAGGTGGTGCACTGTTCTTAAGAGGAGACGCCTGCATGCTATTGTATGCAAAATTAATCTTTTATTATTAAAAGAGGCCTAGAGTTGCTAACGTTTTGGCCAAAGACCTTCCTCAGTTTTAAAATTTAGTTCAGTCCTCTTAGGCATGATACTGTACTGAATATTGGTTAATTGTTTTTTGTGAAATTCATTAACATAATCACTATTGATTGAAAGTATATTGAACTCTTATTTGTTTAGTAATTCAAATATGGAGTATATTGATAAAGAAATCTCTTATTCATGCCCCAAACGTGGGTCAAAATTAGTCTTTTTGTGTTCACTACTAAATTACTTAAATTGCAAGGCATGAGTTCCTGAATTTGTACTGCATGTCTACATATTTCTGAAAGGTCCTTGTAAAACCCACAGTAGGCTTATACAGTAGTTTCGTCTAGTGGGTGTGTTAAAGTTTTGATTCTAACTGGATTCTGTTCTTAAAATGTATAAGAATTATTTGTCGTCGTTTTTTTATTCTGCTGCTTTTCAGCAGTTGGGCCATGATCTTTCTTGGGAAGCTGTGGGAGAGTTGACCATCTGACCCAGTAAAACCAATTATCAGCTTTTTCTTAAGATGCAGTAAATGAATTGGCTCTCATTCTCTGGGAAGCTGTTCTTTGTCTTAGCTGTATATCCCTGTTTTGAGAACAAGCTGACCTTGTGACATTACAAGGAATAAATGCATAGTTATTCATTTATTGGATATTCAAGGAGTGCTTAGGGTTATTGTCGTTACATCATTATATATAATACAAATGTATATCCAATAAGCCTTCTAGCACTAGGTAATATTGTGTAGCATCTGTTGATCCTTCTACAATACAAATGTCTCTATTGCCCAAATATGTGTACGTGTATATATAGAATAGAAACAGTGAAGATTGTTTATCTTAAGGATCCAAGACTAATCTTAGGGAAATGGGGAACGAATCTGTAACTAATGGAGGTAATGCGAACAGGGAAGTCATTAAAGGGCAGAGGGAACCCAGTTTCCTCGTTTTCTTTTAGACAGCACTTTACAAATGTGTCCATTAGGCTGGGCCAGGTTACGTTTGAAAGGAACACCTAAGTCATACTCTTTTGTATTTCCAGTATTCACAATGGAGTACTTTTTTTGTTTTATAGCAATTTTGAAAAATGGATGAATTTGAGAAAGTTTCAGTTAGTAACTCAGGCTATAAAATTGTTCGGATACTTCCCTCAGAACAACAGGAATGATTGCTGGAATCATTTGAGTTTATTTACAGAGCTGCTTGGAGTATCTGAAGTGCAGATGTCTGAATGTGTTCATCACACTTGAGACAATCTAAGAATAAGCTTTATCCTTGTCCAGGGCATCTTGGCATTATAAGGCTGTTTTGTTTATCAGGCTTACTTCACTGGCTTCTTTTCCCCCTTCTGAACTTTTTTGGAATTTCTTTTGAAGTTGTTTTCCACAAAGAAGAGAAACAATCAGGTTTTTAATCTTAAGGCTGTAAAAAATAAATTATAAAGGAACAAGTCAAAGTTAATTCCACACTGAAAAGTGGTAAAGGAAATCATGGATTTGTTGTGAAGCCTCCTTCACACCCTACTTGTACTTTTCTATTTGTAATTCACTCTACTTGTTCCCACAGATTGCACACTGTCATAGCTCGAGCCTCTTTAAATTTTAGTCGATCAAGGTAAATTATATTGCTTATAGTCATACTGTACATGCAATAAAAGTGAATATAAGAGCTTTAATTTAAGTCCTGAAATTTAGAAAGAAAAACAAAAGGGGTTAAGGTGCTAAAACTAAATCTGCAACTTCCTACAACTGCCGTTAAGGCGGAGAATTTAAGTACCCAGGTATTAAAAAAAGACTTCCACTAAAAATCGCTGTCACATGTAGAGCGTGCTAATAAGATGATCCAAATAAATTGCATCCTAATTCTAATCTGTTGTAGGTATTACAATGAATAGGATGTGTGTATTTTTTTTATGGTCTTGTGGGATGCTTTCCGATACTTCCTCGAACATTAATACTGTATATGAGTGTGTGCAGAATTTGTGTGAGTGCATTGTGGGTGAAGTAACTCCCATGGTGCCAAAAGCTGCTATTAATTCGGTTTCTTGATATCAGGCTACTAACACTTTTCCTTCCTCTCCTTTCCCATGTGTTCTACATCTTTAACTTCTCTGTAAAGAATTTTTTTTTTGCTTAATTTTGTTGTATAGTCATCTCACTGATTTCATTGCAGGAAGGATGATCTTTTAGCAAATAATGGCAGTAAACGGTTCTGGGGATTCTTTGGCAAAGCTATTAGAGGCGTGTTCACAATTTATTTTCTAATGGGTGGGGAAGAAAGGTCTCCCCATTCTTGGCAGAGTGTTTACTATCTGGTACTAAAGAATTTTAATCCTTCTTTTTTCTTAAAGAATTAAAGTTAGAGAGAGACTGGCGAAAGAGGAAGGTGTGCGAGGAAGCCCGGAACTTGTCAAAGAAACGGCAGCTTCCAGGAGACATCTGCAGGTGTCTGCTCCTTACATGCGTGTTCATGACTCCTGCGCTTTCGATAGGGTGGCCCAAGCTCACCCTAGCCCTGCTCGCCAGCCGGCCTATGGATTCGTCCAGCCTGCTGGCCAGGCTCAGAGTGCCAAGTCTGTAACAGCGGGGGAGACGGAAGGTGGCGGTTGTCAGCGCAGTCCCTCGCTCCCAGTAAGCTCTGCAACAAAAGCAGAGGGCACCCGTGAGGAGGAGCCTGATGGATGGTTCAGTGGAGAATATAGCCATGGGCGCCAGTCAGATGATAAGCAGACAGTCAGAACTGAGGGCCTCCTGAAGAGCAGGAAGGCAGTCCTGCCTTCAGAAATCCGCAAGAGGGAGAAGAATCGGGAGGAATTTCACAGCCCGCGAGACGACGAAGAACCCGGAGCCTCTTCCCACTCCGCGCACAGGCGACGTGCTGATTGGGAAGAAGTCGGGTCTCCATGGCAGGCGGTCGATTACCAGAGCAGAACAAAAGAAGGCCCACAGAAAAGCGATGCTGCCGCGTGTCGTCAAAGGGCATCGGCACTGGCTCCAGCAAGGCACCGGAGTCCGGGCCGGGAGGTGTCCACAGCCAAGCACAAGATGCTGACCCGTTCGATGTCGGACTTTGGGGTGGCGCCAGGGGCGCCGGTCTTCAAAAATCTAGATCGGGATCCAAACCGAGAGATGGTGTTCTACGGTTCTGAAAGTAGCGTGCCAAATGGAGACCTCAGTGCAGTAGATACAAGGGTGTCTGTTGCACAGCTCCGCCATACTTATCTGGAAAGTGCCAATGCCAACAAGAAGCAAGAACTGTAGGTGGTATTTTGGAATACTGACCCCTTTTCTTGATTTTAAATGTGATTTGCACGGTCTTAATGAGTAGGCTTTCATGAAATGGTTTAAAAATCAGAGCAATGTGCTGCCTTAACCGTACAAGACACCCTGAAGCTTAGCTCACTGCCAGCGTTTCGGGGAGCGGGCTAATTATTAAAATGGTGTTTGTGTCCTAATCCTGCCGCGTCTGCTTCTCACCTAAATGAGTAACAAAACTTGTAGCTGGAATGTGTGCAGAATACATCCATGCATGGTGTTGGCATGTGGTGTGATATTACTACACTAATTAAAAAAATCTGGGCTTGGGTTGCAGAAGGGAACAACCCTTAAATTGCTTCATCACTATCCTCTTTCTCCTGTCTCTCTCTCTTCTTCTCGTCATTTCTTCCTCACGTGCTTAAAGGGAGGCTAAGGTAGAGCTGGCAACATCGGGTCTCGATTCGGCTGGCAAAGCTGAACGGGAAAGGGGCACCCGGAGGCCAAGGCGCTATATTTCCCCGGGAGAAAGTAGAAAGACCTCTGAGAGGTTTAGGACTCAGCCTATCACTTCAGCAGAACGTCTGGAGACCGATAGGTAGGCTTCATGGGAAAAGGTTGACAGTGGAGGGGTCTGCCTTCTGAATGATGTTGCGCTTTCCGAGTTGAGGACGGGTAGCTCAAGTACTAGAGGAGAGCTCCCAGTCTGTGCTTTTATCATGGCTGCCCTCTTAAATACCAGTCAATGCAACTGAGTGGCCCTTCCTCACAAGGGGAATGAGACTGAAAATACATTGCTTTTGTTTGGTGGTTGGATAGTTCTGGACACAGTGCTTCTCACCCATCCCTGGTCTCATTCGTCTTGAAAAGGGAAAAACTATTTGACATGCTTTTCATGTCATTGTCGTGCATTTTCAAATAGCCCACTGCTATGCGTATAAGGCGGTGGTGAATTGTGGTGGTGGTGAACATGTTTAACAGAAAGGTTTGTGTTTTCTCAAGAGACTAAATAAGAAAAGGTCCATTAACAACAGACTGGAAGCTCGGTGCACAACAGGCCCATGTGATCACGCTTCATGAATCACCCATTGTCGTTTACTCTTGGCGTGCTGGTCCTACCCTGGTCTGAAACCTAAAAGCAGTAGAACAGTTCTAGTGCTAATACTGTAGGTCTCGAAACACATCAGTAACACTGTTTCCATCTTATTTCTTAATCATCCATTTGTTTTTATTTCCATTCATGGGAAAGCTACTGCTTTTTAAACTAAAGTTTTGGATACTGTTTTATTTTTTTCTTTTCATCCAGTGATGGATCTTGTATATTTTAACTTAACTGCTTTTCATTTACAGGTCATGTCTGAGTCCTGAGCTACAGAATACTGAAGGCAAGTGCTATTATATTTTTTTATCTTATGTCCCTTTTTTGCTGTATGTGTTTGTCGATTCCATTCCTTCCTTGAAATATTCTGAAACTTTGAAACATAATGGTGAACATGATGGTACACATGCGAGGTGATTTCTGAGTATGAGGCCATGTTGAACTTTGTTCCTGGAGGAAACTAAGAGAACCCAGAACTAGTCTTTTGGGGTAACTAATCAAATTAATACAAATAAATTGAGCAGAATAAAATACCCTTTTCAACACTTTCAAACTAATACCCTGGGGTTTTTGGTAGCTCCAGTATAGCCTTATGCTTTTTTTATAACTTCTTAGTATCTGATGCAAAACTACTGTACTGTATATGAGACTGCCGGATTCAAATCTTTTGAAGTTAAATGTACCACTTTATTTTTTACCTAATGTAAATATTGTGTACTCTGTCTGATGAGTATATTAACTGGATTCTAGATGCATAGCTACACTGTCTGGTGCTTCTTTTGACATTTCCCAAGAACATTTTAAAAGCTTAATATCTGTTCACTCTCGTTCCTGCATGGTACAAAGTGACACATTTTTATTTTCAGAATTTATGGGACAATCCCTGAAGGGACTTGCAAAGAAACACAGCACACAAAACATCCAAGGGAATTCTGTTTCAAAATAAAATATTTCAACCATGTAACTCGCACTTTCTTAAATGCAAGCATAAAAAAATTGATGGGAAGGTTGAGGGAAAAAAAACGATTTCGGCACATTCACAATTCCAATTTGGGAGAGCAAAAACCAAAACATCAGTATTACCATGATAACACAACATAAGGAAAACCACTATATGCCATTATTTGCAAGGATAAATAATAGCTTTTAGTGGGGGTTCTTGAATCCTTTTCTAGCTTTATAGCATAGTGTGTAATTCTATGTTTGATTTTGTCATCTTCTCCTGGCAATAGAGTACTTTCCTCCTTCCTGAATTTCATCTCATCCTTTTTGTTTTTCAGTGGATGAAGAGAAGCTAGATGAACGAGCAAAGCTGAGTGTAGCTGCCAAGAGGTCACTTTTCAGGGTATCGGCTGTGGTTTTTATTTTTTTCACTGCTGCCAAGGTTGTTTGCCACAAGGCTGGGGTGTGAGCATTTACCTTTCGTTTGATCCCACTGAGCTGTAACGACATCTGGTTTTGTGGCACATCTGTGTAGTCCTGCGAGGAGAGCGATCACCTCCCCTCCCTGTTCTACATTCCTAGATCCTGACTCACTTTGATTCCAAACGTCCCACTTTCCAAATGTGCGAGACAGCCAGACAGGACTGTCTTTTTAATGTGGCTGCACTGTGCATTAACATGTGTGCCCAACTGTTATCGTTCTAAAGATTGTACAGAATATGCCTGTGTAATTCAATAACTCTTCAAGAATGTTTTGGTAAATGGAAATCCTCAATTTCCTTTTTTTTATAGTTTGATTGATTGGCAAAGGTTTTTATATGACCAGCTGCTGTGTACGTCATAAGGCGTCATCGACTAGCGTATTAAATGTCTCCATCAACCTGTCATCGCTCTCGCATCAGGAATTGGAAAAAAGCGTTGAAGCGTCGGCCGGACCTAAACCGCGTTCCCGGAACGCCGCGGTAGAAAGGAGGCTGAGGCGTGCCCAGGATCGCTCACGCACGCAACCCGTCACCACCGAGGAAGTCGTCATTGCAGCAACGTAGGTTAAAAGGGTTTGTCTAAGGCACAATTCAGGTCGATCTTGATGCACATATCTGAGTTCTAAACAGTTGTTGGATCCCAAATATAAGCACATTGCCTTACTAATAAAGAAAACTTACAGGGCTACACAAAGCTGGATAGGATTATATTTAGTCCGATTTAAAGGCAACAGTGTTCGTGAGCATTCATAGGCTGTCAACGCTTGTGACTGGAGATTACCTACAACACCTAAAACAAACATCTGTTGAGGGATCAGAGTGACTGCGGGCTGAAATGTACAGGGTGTTTCAGCAAGATATTGGCAAAATCCAGATGCTGGAAACACAACGGCATCCCTGGGGAAAGGGTGGAAATAGGGACGATGAAGGGTTTTCCTCAAGGCAGGCCTCCGGGCTTTGAAATTAATTGATCCTGCGAACTTTTCTACATATTTCACATTTGCCAATTTTTTTTTTGCCTCCATTTTCACTTGTATTCATTTCTTAACATTTTGATCGGTTTTTCATTGCGGTTAACCATTGCTGGTTGGGCTTTACTGTACATTTAACTTATGAAAAGCCACTTAAAAGTTACATGTGCTCGAACAGAAAAGGCCGGTGACCAACTGACAGTCTGTAAAATGTCCAACGTATCTCCGCCTATCTCCTAATTGTTTTGACTTTTATGTTTTTTTTCCCATTTGCTCTCTCCCAATCTTTGTGGCGTAAAGTGTACCTGCTTCGTCCTCACAAACTGTGACTGTCCACACCACAGTCGCCAGAATCCCTAGCCCCACTGTAGTAAGCACTTCTGTGCACAGCACCAGGTACTTGAGTGTGTGCATGCCAAATGAAGCCTGTGCACTAACTCGACTAATACCAAGTGTTCCAGCCACAAATGTTGGCCTTGTTCTTGGATGCCCAGCACTTTTTGAAAAATAGTCTTCTAACATGCTCTATTCAACATAAGGGACAAGACTTCATTAAACCTTGTTTCTACAATAAATAAGTGAAGATGTTTACCCATATGATAGTTAACGTCATCTTTTAATATTTAATTATTAATGAATGCAGCTCGTAGTCCCAAGGTCAGGTGTTGCTTAGATTGTAATAAACACTGTATATTCATAATTTTGCTTGATCTGTAGTGAGGTTTTTAAAAGATTCTGAAAATTAAGGGTATTAAAATAGATCATTCAGAAACTGGAGTAAATAAGAAGCTCATTTAAATCTTTATTTTAATTACATCTCAACATCCTTTTAAATAAGCCAGCACCACTGAAATGACTTTTCACTTTGTCAAGCTTTTTTTTAATTCAGGAAAATGAGCATTCTGATTTATTTTTTATATTTCAAATTAGTTTAAAAAATTGAGAGCACAAAATATTCCAGGGAAGAGTGTGTTTCCATGTAATCTTGGGAAAGCTTTGTGTTATAGCTCCAATTTCCTGGTCTTTTATGGTTTGTTTAAACCCATTGCAATTAGACCCTGGATGCAGTCCATCACTACAACCAAGTGGTGTTGAATGCCAATTCTCAGTTACTGGACTCCGATATTCATTTGATCCATTGCAACATTTAATTGTTTTTTGCTTTTTTTAAATTGATTGATTTACAGTATGTCCACGTAAACACCCCTAAAAGTTTTTGCTTTGTTGAGTATTGCCAGCTCTATCCAACACCGAGGACTGTATATAGAGTTTTCATTGTGAGTTAACTTGTAAGAAGACTGCTCAGGAATGGCTCAGCCAACTTGTGTAATGCGTTAGGCTCTATAAGCTCAAGATCACTGGTTTGAATTTCAGCTGTTATTAAATGTTAGTGGGATTCTCCAGAGTAAATAAAGGCGAATTGTAAAAAATAAATGCTGAAAAACAGAAAAGAAAAATGTATTTCAGGTGTGGGGAGAATGAGGGAGGAGGGATATTTGTTTTCTCTCGTTCTCCTTTGCAGCTTAAGGTACAGTAGCTGCACAACTGAAACATTTTTCCACCTTTCAGGGTGGAATTAACCTCTACCTGTTGCTTTGCAGACAGCACACCGAGTCTGACCTCAGACTTTTCCCAGGTTTCAGCACATAGGCTATTTCCATTAAGATATTGCAGTAAACAGACATTTGGTTAATGTAGTGCACATAATCTACTTAAATGTTCGCTTTCTTTTAATATCAGTCTCTAGCAGATAAAAGCCACTGTAATAACACTGTGGGTTGAGCAACAATTTTTATTCAAAAATGAAAAACAAGTGTTCACATGTTCTCGTTTATTGTCCCTGCAGTCTGCTAAGGGTACATGCGTTAGACCGCTTTAATACATCATGATTTAGTATGTATCGTTTGACTCAACAGATTGGGACTTGGGAATGAAACGACTAAGTCATTGAGCGCCCTTACTGTTGGTGTCATTTGACACCAGCTAGGGTCTCGGGTTTTTAAATTGGCCAACAGTTCCTCAACATCGTGTACTGCAGGAACAGTCCTGTGGCTGACTGGGCACTTGTGAGGGTGCAGTTTTGTTCACGTCCTCCGGCCGGGCCATGCCCTAGCTCATCAATGCTGTGGGTTCCCAGTGTTCCCTGGAACCCTGCGGAGTGAGGGGGGGGGGGGGGGGGTGAGGTCGATGCCCTAAGAGCTCGTGTCTCCAAATTAGGATTTTGTAACTCCTAACATGGAAGTTGAATGACAACTCAAACTCAATTATGTGGGTTAAACCTCCCTTAAATAAGTTAACATTTAAGCAGCTAACACTTTAAATTGCTTCTCTGTTCCACATTTCATTATCTTTAGTATCTTGCTTCAGACAGGCCCCTAGAGCATAGGTAGAGCATTTTACAGTTGTCTTGGACCAGTCTTCAAGACTGTTTTTGATGTCAAGATTGATCAAACTGTGAAAGTACACTTCAGAAGCTCTGAACAGCAATGGGGGGAGCTAAGTAGGAGGCTGTATTTTAAATCGTTACGGAGTAAAATATATCTACGGTAGGTATAAACCTTTTAATTGCCTTTAGTTTTAATTGTTTGCAGAACTAGTGTTTCTGTGGTATGTTTTCATGTTCTCTTTTGAAGGCAAATCCAAGCTTGGGTGTGTAACAGTATTTGGTAGTACTGTGTTCATATGAAGTGGAAAGAGTTAAGTTGGGATCCCAACAGGTTTATTTTAGGGAACTTATTTCTGGTCTTGAGCTTAATGACCATGGTAGCAGTTTACAGATACAAAGGAGAGTTCTTTAGCCCTTGTTTCAAAGAGCCACTTTCATTTTAAAGGTCTGGGGTGGATTTGACACCTGAAGAGACATTCCTGAACTATGCTTTATTTAAAAATAATCTAAGATTTTAATGTTTAAGAGGTTTTTGTTTTTTTTACAGTTGGTCAAAGATGTTTTTTTTAATCTCCTACTCATGTTAGCAAAATAAACTTATCAGAAATTAAATATTTTGAATACATGCAAGCTGATGTAATGATTCAACATTCATTTTACTGTGCTTTAGTGCTGATGTTTGAGAGCTCTTGGAGCTTTCTTTCAGCTACATGGCGCCACCTGCTGTTTTTGTAGTTTGAAAAGGTCTTAAACAGGATGACGGCCATTTACACAGTATCTAATATTAAATCTAGTGGCATGTTTATTTATTTGCATAAATGGATCTTGTGGAACTCTGCACTTGGAATTAATCCGCTCCATATACTGTACCCCCACACCTGCCCTGTTTAGAGACATTATCTAAAATCTTGGCAAAACGTTGCAAGTCAGTCAAAAAAAACTATACAGCTTATTCAGCAGCAACATTCACTACATGAGGAGACTAATTTGAAATGAGCAACAAAATGCTGGTTGTCTCCTTGTGAGAAACAAACGTTGAATCATTTTAATTTAATTAACTGTTGTATCGCGAACCATAAGTATTTGCTTCAACAAGCCTTGCTGCAGGATGCTGCTCCCTCAAATCGTGGATGTAGTAGCAATCCCCACAGGCTTTGTCAAAGAAACCACAATTGAGGAGTTTGTAAGTATTGTAGTCCGTCATGGTTTAGTAAAACATTGCTCACTGTGGCTACCTGTGATTCAGAATTCTAATTCAGAATTAGAAGCGTTATACTGAAAAGGTAACAGTCATAAAGACAGGCTAGTACTGTTACCTTTACATGATTAAGTTTTAATTATATCATTGTCTACTTGTGCAAGCAGTGTTTTCAGGCATTTTCTGCCTCAGTGCTCTGGCATACTGTATGTAGTAGTTTATTAAATTGAAATAATACCCTACAATGGTGAGCCATAAGAATTCATCTTAAGGTTAGAACCCAATCACATCCCTAGCAATGTACAGTAGTTAGGGGTCAGTTACTCTCACAATGTCTTCTGTAAGACAGATACTGTATGGGCATGCTTTGACATCCACCTTGTGTATAGTGTCGTTTACATCACACCCTTTGTTGTTGCTGTTTGTACACTTTCTTAAAATAACATAACTGAAACAGGTGTTGCATCTATCTGCAAATGGAGCCGAAACATAAGAGATTGCAGGCAAAATCCTTGAGCCTGAGATAATCTTTTGTAATGTAGAGTATTCCGTTAAATGTATTCCCCCCCCCCCCCAACTCGCATCCAGTAACTTGGGTTTATCCTACAGCTTGCAAGCATCTTCACACCAGAGCGCTTTAGCCCGAGAGCAGGCGAGGGAGACCGGGGAAACCAAGAAAACCAGCGACGAGCAGGAGTCGGAGGAGCCCGACCTGTCCACTCTCAGCCTGGCGGAGAAGATGGCTCTCTTCAACCGCCTGGCACAGCCTGCCACCAAAGTGGTGTCCAGGGCCAGGACCGACATCCGGCAGAGGAGAGCCAACGCCCGCTACCAAACGCAGCCCATCACCCTGGGAGAGGTGGAGCAGGTACACAGCCCCAAACTGGAGCCCTCTCCGACTCAGACTTCTATTTTGCCTGATAGGAGAGAAAAATACTGACAGGCTACATGCAGTTTGAGATACTATTCTGTTACTGTTGATAACACTTAACTGTTGGTGTTTTTTGGCAAAAATCTCATACTCTTGTTCCCAGGAGAGTGACTGTGTTGTTTTGGAAACTCCCAACTTGTGTGGTGTAAGAACAGTTTCCTGTTGAAACTGGAGTGGGGACCTGCTTGGCCTTTTTTTTTCCTCCCTGCAAAGGAAATGAAGCCCTCGGGCCGTTGGGACCAATTCAGCCAGCTTGCTCCCCTTCCCGTTCTCAAGTTTCAACAAGGATTTGCCAGTTATGGTTTTTCCTCAGAACTGTGAACAATACGGCGAAACCACATCTCTTACAAAACACAAGTGGATCCAAATGAAATGAGATATCTTAACCAAGGGAAAGCTTGTTCATAACAAACGTGAAGCAGGAGGAATTAGTTCCTCAGGATTTTCCTGCTGTGAAGGAGTTGAGGGGTGGCTCACTCTTCTGCATTGTGCTTGTAATTTAAATACTTGTGCTTTCTTCTATATGAATAAATATTGAAATCGGTTAAAACTGTCTTGGCAGGGAGCACTTAGACCAAAGTATTTGGGAATGGGTCAAGCAAATTAGTTTCTCACATTAATTCTTCATATAGTATCTTTGTACCAACCCTGTTTCATGGCAAACATGTTTAACGTTTATCATTTGGTTTATTTGTGTTAATGTACTGTAGTTCAGAGCGTGCAGGTGTTAGTTTCCCCCAAAGACAGGTTAGCTTCAAAAGCCCCCTGACATTTTCTGATGCCTTTGCCATTCCCTTTTTAAAAAAGCAAAGTGAGAAAACCAATGTCCATAAATGACCAAAGAATATCTCTGGTGCAGGAACTAGTACCTAAAAGCCCTTCTCCGCCAACCAGTGAAACTTCCGAACACCTGCAGAGAACGTTATACTCGGTTCACGTAAGGCTAGACGTCCCTTGGAGTCACTTGCATGTAGTGCTGTTGCATATAATATTGTGACTGAACTGCTTGTTTATTTTTACTGTATACCAGCAGTGTAAGTTATTTCAGCAGTTTGTGCTTACACTGTTTTTTTGCCAAAATCTTGCTTGCGTGTGACTTTTTCCCAAGTATTGAATAAGATTATATTAAAAATAAGGATATTATATATCCTATATATATATATTAGTGCAAACTAAATTGATCCTTAATCAGATGTGTACTGATTAAACAGTTTGCTTCTAATACCTATGCTGCTCAAAGCGTTTCTTAAATTGCACATAGCCCTGATTGTTGGTTTAAATTAGACTTTTCGTGACTGCCAATTGTGTCATATACACAGGGTGTGCCATGGTTCTTCTGTAGATATTTGTGCACAATATTCAGGCCAAATAGATTTAACCAAGTATTGTAAGTATATCGAACAATCACAGCAAGTATGAATTAAATTTAACAGTCTGTATTCCGTATGGAACATGTTACTGTCAAACTGGGAACTTTACAGCATTAGGTTAGGTTATGAGCTTCTTGAGAGTTCACACTTCTTGCTTTAGTACAGGCCCAGACAGCCTCTGGACATAATGCGGTGGGAAGCTTCACTACTCTTGCTGTACAGCTGCCATCAGCTAGAGAAGGTGGACTGGTCACCGTTTTGTCTGTTGATCTGATGCTGGTGTGTTGGTTCCACAGATCTTCATTGGGAGTAGGTTTAGAAGAGGTTAGCCAAGCCAGAAACTTGGCGTATTTTTTTTTGGTTGTGCTGCTGTAATCCTAGTACTACATAGCCTTGCAATCAACACATTGGATGTGCTGGATTGGTTTATGGAATGGAAAAACTTGGCTTAAGGACTTCATCAGTGTATCTCTAAGTAGTAAGGTTGGCCATGATTTGCTCCAATGGTGTTCTCATTAAGCAAGGTTCCTCCCCACATCACAATTACCCTGCACAACCAGTGGACATTAACAATGCAACAGCAGCATAAAACTCACCATGTCCTTTAGAAATGTTTTCCTCAAGGTGTCAAATAACGTTAAGTGGATATAACTCTACCACCTCTTCAGATAACCTCTGGCCCACAGAAGATGGTTTTGCCTCTAATCTGTCAGACGTTCAAACATGCAGATCATTTTCGGGCTGATGTAAGAGTCATTTCTTCCTGGAGATATGTAAGCTGCAGCCGCTGCTGTTTGAAAACAATTGTGCAGATGGATCAAAGGGATGTGATAATCCTGGCCCCAGTACAGTGACCCTCTTCCTTCCAGGATGAAGCCCTTCTTTTCCCACTCAGGGCTGGTTTCCTGGCTTCTCTGGATCAGTGTGCTCTATTTTTATAGCAAAATGTTTTACAGGCAGTTCAATTTTGGTCATGCTGATGGGAACTACATAGTAGTCATTGCTTGAGGGGGATATTATTTTGCTTTTATTAATAAGAATGTTTTCTTAAATGGCAGTTTTTATACAGAATCATCTTTTTCTCAGTATGTTATTGTCCTAGGGAACAGTAACAACTGATGTACAGTGTCAAGGTATTTTACGTTGGAACTAAAATATATGAAACGGGATTCAAATGCTTCAGTCAACGAATATGGGATTACTATCTACAAAGTAAATAGTTTTCAAAAAGAGTGGTAAAACAAAGACTTTCATTTCTTGTGTGCATCAGTATACATCTGTGCATGAACTGATAAATGTTGCACCCGTTATGCATCTGTGTTTTGAATGAGAAAAAGAGCTGATCAGAATCACAGAAGAAAACTTTGATTAGCTTTCCTGTTTTCTTTTTTGATCAGGATGTATACTGTAAACAAAAACCAATGTGTGCAGGACAAAGTTACCCAAAAGGTTTTTGTACTTTTGAATAACTAGGCAGAGTGTTTTAGTGCATGAGTTAAGGTTTTTAGTGATTTAAAGTAGGCTTGCTTTCTTTTTGCCCAGTCTGTAATAGCTGATCTGCAGAGAGACTAGATAACAGTACAGTGAATACTGCAAGTTCACAACCCACAGCACCTGTAGAACATTTCCTTTTGAGCTTTCCTTTCCTTAATAAAACACCAACCATCTCTTTCCTCTCCCACCTTTTCCTGTGTTACCATATTGCCAAAACAACAGACGTTCCTAGCTAACTTGAAACAGTGAAATTTTCCTTATTCAGTTTGAGTAATCCAGTAATCCATCCTAATTCCTGAACAAGAACAATTGTCTATTGAGTGAGACATTCCTGGTTTTAGATGCAGTGTAACGAGAGAACCAGAAATATGAATTTCTAAATGTACATATACAATATTTAGTAGTTATCAGTTTTATTCCAGATGCACTTTACCCATAAAGTGAATGATAATTTTTAAATATCATTTAAAAGATTGTTTTAAAACCTCTGTTTTTTGAAGTTTTACTGACCTGCTGAAGAGGGTTTGTAAAGTCAGGTTTGTAGTAGATTGTAGTAGGGACAAATGGCTCAGGGGGAGAAGTGGACCAGGACAAAAAGAGAATGCTGATCTCGCCAGGTGCAAATTTTTCTAATCCATCTGAAAACCTGATCTAATCCAAACTTCACATGGAGACAGGAATTCTCTATCGATATAATGTTTTGTGGAAAAATAGATTTCTCAATTTGTGTGGGTTGGTTACTTTATCATCTACTTGGAACATCTCTTTGTTTGGAAAGATAAGGATCGCTTGAGATAGTATCATGTTACAATAAATCAAAGTATAAGATTAGGCAACAACAAAAAAATTAATATGAAATATTACATTGAAGATGGGGTTGTGTGGTCATCATACGTTAAACAGTCTGGGAGACGCTTGTTACAGGAATGAGAAGCTTCAGTTGTCTAAGCCAGGTCCATACTTTCCTTATAAGCACCTGTTGGATGCATCTCTCAGCATTGTTGTGACCCGCAGAGATGATGAGCATGGCTTACGAGAATTTTATTTAAAAAAAAACAGCTCTCGGCTTGATCAACAGGATGTAAAATGAGTCACTGTGATGCGAATTTGATTGCTCAGCATGATGAAGTGGCATTCGATCTTGATGCTAAATCACAGTTACTCTCTGAAGTGGCACAGTTACTCTCCAATTGTTAATGAAAGCTGAAATGTTTTGTCAATTTTGCCTTCCACAGCTGCAGAATGGAGGAGGTGGAAAGCTAGGACCTTTGTCAGCGTCAATTGTGAAGTCGGTAGCGGCTGCAACTTCTCAGGCAGCCGCAGTGTCAACTGTCCACGCAGGGGATATACACCGGGGGAAGCCTACGGCCGCCGCCGAGAGCTCTCTGCCCTCCGCGGGCGAGTCTCCTGAGAGAGCAGCTCCCAGGTACCACAGCCCTGCAGCCCCAGCTTTCACAGAGCAGCAGCAGCAGGCAGCAGAAATCAAAGGCGTGTTTCACAGCTACTCAGCTGCTGGGCAGCGACAGGAAGAGGCACCAGGAGCAGCACGAGAAGAAAGCAGCAGCAGCAGCAGCTACAGAAGAAAGCACGGCTCTCCAAACGGAGACGGCAGGCAACTAGGACCCCTGCAGCCAGGTGGGAGCGAGTGGGATGTGGACATCCGGCCCCTGAGGCGCAGCCCTCCCAGAAGAAGCAGCAGGGAGCAGCTCAGCCCCGACACCTCGCCGGCAGTCGAGCCCTGGAGCCTCTTGAAGACAGACAGCGCCGTTCTTCAGGAGCGGCAGGAGGCCAGGGGGGTCCTGAAGGAGAGGCACCCCCAACGGGAGCTGTTTGAGTCTGAGAGTGTCCAAAAATCCAGGGCAGCTGTCTCGGGTAAGTGGTCTGGGCTGTGCCTCCATCTGTTTTGGCTTAGAAAAACCGTTTACTGTAGGTATACAAGTATCATTTGTAGTGTGCATAATGGATTTCTTTTATACATTTATATCAAGATTAACAGTTGTGACCTTGACTTGCAGCAGGGAGCTTTGCTGTCCAAAATAGGGTATTGAAGTAATTTCTTGTGCTCTTTTTCTCAGCTGAGGTACAAGCAGTGCTGTTCTGTTTGATTAATTGCCATCTCTATCATGGCTTGGTGCAGTTTAATAACAAAGGGAAGCAGGCAAAAATTCACTAAAATGCATAAAGCTGTTATTCAGGTATATGTTTTTGTGACTGCCATCATGGTTGTGCGTCAGCCTTATTTAAAACCTAAAGTAGACTTTTTTTTTCAAAACATTAAGGCATTTCCTGTAGTAGTGTCTGTTACAGCTGCGATGCAAAAGTCTGTGGTTGTCGGCTTTCCCTTATTTGTCAGAGCAGACACTATGGTTTTCCTGTTTGGTGCTCACTTTTGACAGCAACAATGACTCTCAGCATTTGACCTTTCCTAACATGCTCGCGCATGTAATACAAAAGAAAAAATATTTGTTTGCACAGCGCAGCATCTTGGAGAATTAAGCTTTATGTACTACAGGAGGGGAAAGGAGTTGAAACATGCAGGACAATATGGTTTTAACCCCAATACCGAAATCTAGCCTATTTAAATAGCTGCTTAGGAGTTCTCATTCCATCTTATGAAAGTCAGGCTGACAATTAGGAATGCAAGCCACTGGATCTCATAAAACACGTGCTGAGGCACCTCTAAATGGCAGCCTCTCTTTTCTGCCTTGTGCACCAATTGTACATACAGTACTCCGCTGCTTGACAGTTATGTATTGGTGTGCACATCTTCTAACGCCGTCCTGTGTCATGTGCGTCTGCGTGCAGAGCTGCTGGAACCCAGTGCTTCCCTCAGAGTCGGCGCTGCAACAGCAAGGAGTGTCTCTCAGTCTTTCAATGTGCTGCCCTCAATACTGCAGCCTTCAGAGCTGAGCGAAGACGCAGGCAACAGCATCAACTCAGAGCTCCCCTCTGCCAAGCAACACGAGCCTGACAGGAGTGAGGAGCTTTCCGACACCATGACGACTAAACAGCTGTCCATCAAAGAGAGGTAATTTCGTTTTGAGTTCTCGATTTTTTTTTTTAGCGGATATTCCAGCGGCATTCGCCAGTAGTTTTGCTTACATGCAGTTCCTTTTATGTGTGTCTGTTTCCTGCATATGGTCATTCCCATAGAGTGCTCTGTGATCTTTGTACACAGTGAAGGGCTGTGGACTTCATCTTACCTTTTTGATTCATTTTAATTACACTTTTATACCTCTAGTTATTGACGTAGTCGATTTTCTCCAATTTTCAAGTTTAGTTTTGATTCGTTTTTTATATAATTTGTTTTTCAATTGATAATAAGGATGTGAGGATTTTTTCCTGTTGTAATCTCCAGTAAGTGAATGGTGCTCACCTTGATTCTCATTGTAAGAATGTAGGTTGCATTTGTGGTCTTGACAGGAGTTAAGGGGGTTTATTTTAGGAAACAGTGCTGTGAGTTAACACCGGTTGTTCAAGGAGAGGCAGCAGGAGTGTTTTAACCTCATTCTGTTGCAAGTTGGGAAGAAATTAGGTTGCTTCATTGTTTCTGGTGTGCTTCAAAAAACAGCTCTTTCATTCACTATTAAAACTTCACGTTTTCATAAAATGAATGACCTTTCCTATGTTCACATCAATTGCCATCATTGAAACGGAAATGTTTGACATTGAATGAAATTGAAAATGTTTGCAATAGAATATTTTTTTCCAAAGAATAGAGTGCTTTATGAGAAATTGACATGCATGTTTGTCAAGAGATTTTATCAAATTACTGTAGGTAAACATGTTTGTAAGTGATTTAGCAGAGGAGTGTTTAAATGACCATAGGTTGTGTATTGTAAAGTATGAGTCCAAGTAGGATATTCTATTATTGGGGGGGGGAAAGTAAGTGCTATGCATTTTCCCTTGGAATCTGTCGGAGCTCATAGATGTTTGTCTGTACACAAGAATAAACTATTCCAGTGAAATGACAAATCAAGACAATTTTACGGATTTTAAAATTTTAGTTAAATCTTTTAAAGCAGTGCAAAAACATATTAAGAATGTATTAGCCATTTATCCAAGGCACTGTTTATCCAAAATATTACAGAAATCTAAAGTACTTCCTACCAGATATTTAATGTCACGCCTTTTCAGTATTTTTTGTTGTTCTTTTGCAGTTCTGAATTACTTTAGGCTTTTTCACCAATAAGTGAACGGGTTTTTTTGCTCTGTCTCTTAAGGTGCAAATATAAGGTGTATGTCTTGCCCTACAGTAACTAGTGTCATCAGTATTTTAGAGATGTTCATTTTTGCACCAGTCACTCTTGACTCTTCATTCAACGTGCAACATTTAGTGTATTCAACCAGGCTGGTGTTTGTCCTGCCCAACTGAAGTATTCTTAATGACCTGGAAACTAATCAATGAGGTCATACAGTAACAAGAAAAAGTACATACTGGCTGGTGGTTTTTTGTCTTTGTGGCAAGTTTCTCCAATAGTCAATTTAATGCATTTGTATCTAAATGGACTTTGCAATGCAAAATTACTGCAAAACAAAAAAATAAGAAAACATTGATCTGAAAAACATACAGTAAGTACAACATAAAGTTCACAGACGAGATTAGTCCCATGCACTTTAGCTGCTTGTAGCCAACTGATTTGAGAATATTATCCACTTCAACAGATGCCAAGAGTCATCCCTGGCAAGTCAAACTTGCAAAAGAGAATCTTTAAACATTTTTTTACATAAATTGCATTCATGTTTATATTTGGTGTAGCCCAGAAATAAGCAATATGTTTTAAAGGATGGGAATATGAGCTTGTCCTTTTAAGTCTGTAAGTAGTCGCCTAATGTATAGGTCAGTCTTCCAAAACAGATCTGCTTTCTGTGTTGACTGAAAATCCTTTAAATTTCCTTGATGTGGTATTTTGACTTGTGCACTGATGGTTATTCATTTCGTAAGTAAAGCCATCCAACAGTTCTGTTGCCATTTTGTAAACAAATAATAGAAAAAAAAAGTTAAGTTGTTAACATTGAATGTTTTTCTTTTTTTCCCCCAAATTAAGTACAAAGGCACTTTGTTGCAGAAAGTAATTATTCTGCCTCTGACTACCTTATGAGTGTCTTCTGTTTCCATTTACCATAAACGGCCGGCGCTGTGTATAAACACTGTCAAACAGCTAGGAATTGAAGCCCAGCGAGGCATTCGGTGAAAATTAAGGCCGCATATTCTTCCTTCTTAGGCTGGCTCTGCTAAAGAAGAGTGGGGAGGAAGACTGGAGAAACAGGATCAACAAGAAGCAGGATGTTGTCCGAGTGGCTGTTGCAGAGCATCACGTGCAGCTTTGGGAGGTTGAGCAGAGCTTCAAAAAGAAGGTAACCTGACTTGTTGCAGCAAGTGGATAATCAAACCTCCTTAACACCTCTACTAAAAAATAAACCCATCTGCATGACTAAGGAAAGCTGATTGTTGCTATTGAGCTAACTCCTATTGAAATTTTTTTAAAACCCATGCAAAGCTCTGTATGGAATTGTTATACACAGGCTTACCGTATGTACCTTTAGTTAAAGTTCTTTGTGCATTAAATAGGTTGTAAAATGCTGCTTCTCCCTCTTTATTTAGTCTTTATTCGCTTCCTAAAGTTCTGCACTGCTTCCTATATTACAGTAGGTAGTTCTTTGATCTACTGTACTTTCAAAGTTCATTTTTTTTGCTATGTATTGCAAGGCAACATACAATTTAAGAGTACATAGGTTGCATTTACAGCAGTCGCATTTAATAAATGCAAGTAAAATAAAATCTGTTTCAAATTGATGGGGCAAATTCTGCAGCTTGGGTAAACCATAAGACTTGATCAGGCATACTAAACCAGGTTTGAGGGCATGATCAGTATCTGATGACCATAGGACATGAACAGTGGGAGCATAAGGTTGCGGAGAGACTATAAGGCAGACTCCATCAGACGCAACAGATCATACACCAACACATTAGCATATTCTGGAGTTTTTGTGCCTGTAACCCTTAATTTACATTAGCAGAACAAAGTTGAGTCCACCTTTTAATGTGCTCAAGTGAACCCAGGGGGAGAGGGGTTTAATTGCAATGTTAAGAAGTCTTGGTTTGAAAGAAATCTCTTTGTGTCTTTGCCAGGAACAAAGTGTTACTTCTCAGACTGATTTGTCAACACTTATGTTACCGATACCAGAGCAGAATGTCTGGTCACTCTGTCTCGGCAAGTAAGCTTTCAGCAGATGAGCTTTAAGGCTAGGCAAGAGTTCACGCATCATAGTGTTTTTCTTCCAAATATCCAGTGTACAGGTAATACTTACCAATCATTGAGAACACGGCATGACAGATACTTCAACCATTTGGAAATAGTACAGCATGAGAAATCTGATGACATACTGTACGTGATTAACTTTAAATACCCAGTCATATTAAAAAAAAAACGTATGTTTTTGCTTGTTTTACCCATTCAGGTCTTGTATAACATTACTCCAGTACTGTATTATATTACATATTACTATTATCATATTTGGAAAGGCTCAGTTTAAACACCAAGCACAATCCCAAGACTGTAAATATTTGTGGACCAGTGTTCTCTATATCAAAAACTGCTGAAAGGTTGCCCCTTCCACAGATTGAAGCGTCAAGTTTTAGTGTAGAAAAAAGCCCATGGAAGGATGCAGCTTTCAGTAAAGGAATACCCCAGGGAATGTGCTTTTTTAAAACTTCTCCATATTTTGTTTACTTGCCACTTTGTATTGAACAGTAATGAATAGCATGGAGGAAATGTAATGCTGATTTTCTTGGAGCTTTTTTACAAAGTAGCAAGACATCGCAGTTCAGATTTTTACCGAGAACAGGTTTATAAGATTTTCCTCGAGCTTAGTCATTCGACATCTGCGTCTGTTTCTCTATCTAGCCTTTTTTCCAGTGAAGGTGGTATGGTTGTTTTGATAAGGTGGTGCATTCACGGATAAGAAACCTGAGAAATTGCCTTATTAATATACACTGTACCACGACTGCACTGTTTTGATGTCGTAGCATAGTTGGCCCTTTAAAGAGCAGAGTTTACTCTTTTTGTATATAGACTGCTGTTATGGGAAGAAATATACTTTTTAAATATTGCCCAGTGATGAATAGCATGCAGTAAATAAGGTAACATTGATTTATTTCCTTCAAAGAAGCAAGATGTTAGACTAACAATTAATTGTCAGCATTGAGGGCAAGTATCCAGCTCATTCCTGGTGTATCCAACTGTATTAGTCATGGGAGGTGGGTTTTATTCCAGGAATTCCTGGGGGCAGCTTTACTGCTCAAGTACACTAAGCTTTATATCTGTTGTGGTGGGGTGAAGAAAGTTTTTGTGCTGCATGAGCACTGAGGTCAGGGACTGAGGTTTATTTGAAATACTAGTCAATAGAAATGTTGAAATCGTTTGAAAAATATTGATATAGTACATGGGATGTCTAGATAGATGCCTAGTGCTCTTTGCAGCCTCACCAGAAAGCCATTTTAAATTGTGTAGCTGTGAAAACTTGTTGTAGCCTTACCATTCAGCGTTCCCTGAACATGGTTGCTTGTTTGAGCCTGGTAATGAAGTCCCAGAACTGAAATGTTTTTCTAGGTGGAAGTGGGTACTGTGACGCAGTTTCACTTTCTGAAACCTGAGGGAACAGCATGCTACCCTCAAGCTATTGACTGCCACATCAAATGATAACCAATCCTGTTTTACAATATCGGTTAGGACTGTTCCAATTGCATTTTAAAAATCTGGTATGTTGTGTGGATTTCATACGGAGGTTTCAGCCATAATGGAAGCTCACATTGTAAAGATAGTCGTTTACTGGTTAGAATTCATTTCTTTGGATTGGTAGTAGGACCTCCCCATGCATTAACTTTGTATAGTACACTTCTACCATAGCTATCCACCATGTTAATATTTGAACATAATGGTAATCCTTCATGTTTCAGCTCTCATTCCCCTAGCAGTAAATCAACCAGTAAATAGCATCTCTTGTGATTCTTGACTTGTATTTTCAGACTTACTACACCGTTACTTGGGTTTACTGTTTCCACAGGTCCTGGGCTTTGCACATTGTGTACGTTATTGCACATTGATAGAAATACTGCTTGAAAGGACTGTCTATTTGATCCAACATTACAAGATTGGCAGACCTTAGGCTTAGTACTGCACACAGTAGTAAAACGGATTGCAACACAATTTGTGGCTGATTTATGGTATCTGTCAAAATGAATGTTTTGAAGATACTGTACTTTAAAGGATCATCTTTGGGTTCTATTCTGTATCGGCTCCATAGGATTTTCTGTAGTGCTTTTAAAAATGTGTATTGTTGTAATACTGACATTTCACAGGTGATAAGTGTGGAATACTAATTAGAATGTATGGAATCATCTGAATTTCAATGTATTTTGTGCTTGTCCTGTTAATTATAAAAATAAAAATAAAGCAGGTGTCTTTCCACAGCTGATGCTTTTTAAGGCTGAAACTCCCTTGGAGAGGTTATCAAAGCAAAACTACACATCATAAAAAATGTCTTGTAATGCTACATGTATAGTTAAAATCCTTACAACACGTATACATACATAGGGGCGGTGCAATGGCTCTGTGGCTCAGGATCTGGGCCGGTGGCTGGAAGGTTACTGGAATCCTACTCTGTTGGGCCCCTGAGCAAGGCTCTTCACCCCAACTGCTCCAGGGACGCCGTGTAAATGGCAGACCCTGTGCTCTGACCCCAGGCTTCTCTCCCTGTCTGTGTGTCTAATGGAGAGCAAGTTGGGGTATGTGAAAAGACAAGTTCCTAATGCAAGAAATTGTATAGGGCTAATAAAGTGATCTTATCTTGTATAGAAACCTATAACCCATTGGCTGTTACCATATAATTTAAGAATTCTCTTTCAGGAACCATCTACAAAGTGGATTTTAATCCAGGTTTATATTTGGGTCACGGGGCAGTCTTGACACTCAGTCTTTATTAAGTGGATTATTCTCCTAAGGAGTTTTCAATAAATGCCACTAGTGATGTTGACTATATCATGGTAACTTTCAGTAGGTTAAATGTTGTTTCAGGCGTATTCCTTTTCAACCAGATGCAAAAATGTTTCTGGGAAAACTGTTCATTTTTCATGATTTTGGAATATTACGCAACAATGCATTAATAAAAAAAAAAACTCTTACTATACTTTTTTTTTTCCCCAAAGGTTGTTGTGGCTGTTTCAAGGGCATCATTAGCAGCATGCTAAGAGATATACATTATCTACAGTGCATTGCTGTACAGATAATTCACCTTTAATATAACCTGTTCTGTGAACCACCAGTGTGTAACAGGGTTGAGAATTCTGCTATGTCACCTTTGGCCTGTCACATGGCAGTTAGTGCATTTCAAATGCAGTAGGTAATTATCCTTTTTAAGCCTTGGAGATCAGATCTTTCACTTACAGTACAGTAAGTCTGTATTGTGGGGAAACAATTATACTTTAAAATTTCTGATGAGCACGATCCATAAGCTTTGAAGTAAGCAATGTCTAATTGTATTTCACATTTCCACAAATGTGAATGTTGCAGTTTTAGTGTTACTGGGGAAGGTTTGATTTCCGCTTTCTAGAAGTCTCTCATCATTTGATTTGTTTTATGTGCTTTCTGTATTTTAAATTGTAAGCAGCTTATTTTCACTTTATCAGCTCCCTACCTCTTTCTGATCGATCTGTCTCCATTATTATTATTTTGGTGCTACTATAATTGAAGAATTTTAGAACATTTCTTCAAAATATTTTAAATTAAATATGCTTGACAATTTAGGTTTTAATTTTCAGGGCTACCAGCTTTAAAAGCCACCAGATGTACTGTTGGTGGTTATTAAATATGATTAACTTTGATTATGATTAAAGTTTTTGTCTGATGGAAGCATTGTGGTTTAACAGTAGTACTGTAGGACAACTTATCTCCAAAGTGTTTTTCCTGTAAGATAATCGTGTTTAACTTTTATCTTGTGAAATGACTGTGGCCTTTGCTTAGGAAAATCCTAATTTAGTTTATTATACAACACAAACTGGGGAAAAAGTATCCGTCCAATTGAATTAGTCTACAGCAAAATATATGAACAAGTTGAGAAATGTTCAGTGTAATGGTAGACCCGAGCAATGCTTCGCTTCTGTTTCTGATCTGTTTTTCCATGTTCCTAGAATGCTTTCAGTTTTGTTTCATGCATCCGTCTTTTGTCTGTCTCTGTATGGTTTTATTTTAATTTCAATAAATTAAATTTCCAAACTCTGCATGGAAAGTGTAATTCTATACAGTTCCTCAGTCCTGCAAGCTACCTGTATAAATGTAAAATAAGAGGACTCACTAGTGTTTTGAAAAGTACAGTACTGTGTGGCCAAAAAACTCATGGCAGTGGGTTGTGAATAACTAGGCCTGTTGATTTGTTTAGTGACCAATATCAAATTAGATATGAAGTGGTTACATCTTTTTGGTAAGTCACTTTAATTTTTAACTTAAAACTTCTAAAGTCCCTTACTCTTCTTACTACACACACCCTTTAAACCCCTAGTACTTCTCTGCTTTTGGGCTACCTGTCTGGCTTCATGCCAGGAGTTTAAATTCTGGTCATTGTGTAGTTTAAAAGGCAAAATCGTTTTCTCAAAATATTATTGAAATGTTTTTTTTTTCCAGTTGGTATAAATGAACTTGGTGCAATCTGATACACTACTGTAGGCACGGTCACCGTTGCGGTTGTTGTGAAGTGGTTAAAAAGACCACCGTCAAATTTTTGGGGGTTTTCATCGATATGTTCAGACAAACCACTCTTGCCTGAATGCAGGTGCGGTTCTCATTCATAATATGAAGCAATCAAAACATCACGAGCAACATCGGGAGGAAATGGGAATTGCTGTAATAAAATCAAATGGTTAAAACCCAGAAATGTACTGAAGGTTTTTTTTAGATCAAACAATACTGAATAGAGAACACAAAACCATCTGGTCAAACAAGACGAGTAGCTTGTCTTAATAGAATCCTTTTAGTCTCCATGCAACTGATTCCACGAGTAAGATTAGTCCTGCCTCTGTTTAATTCTGTATGCCTGCAGAATGCTAGGTGCTCTTTTAAAGCTTATGTTGGACAGCATGGATGCACTCGGATGTTTATAGCTTTTTTCCATGCCGTATAAATGAGGCTTTCTGATCTTGTTGGGGAAAAAGTCAAATTTTTCACTTCTGTTATAGGACGATTTGGTAAGTTTAATTTTAAACTTTTAAAGTTTTAAAACTTTAGCCATAGAGATACCAGTGAGTTCTTAAGACTTTCTCCTTTCTCCTATTAGAGTGGCCGTTAGACTCCAGAAAAACTAAATCCAGAAAGGGGACTTGTACTCTGCCGGTGAAATTTATCAACTAGTAAATTGAATGCTAGAATTTGGCTAGGTGTTCATTGCTAGGGTCGTGATTATGATTTTGGCTCACGAAATGAGGCATTAACCTGTTTAAAGGAAATATTAAGAAATGAGGTATTAAAAGAAAAAAAATGCTGAAAACAAGAAGGTGCTTTTTGTTTACCTTTTGTTTCATCTTGTTTTAAGCCAATAGGTTTAGCCAGGTGTATCAACTTGAAAATCCCTGTTTTGTGTTTTTCTGCAGCCTTATGGCCCAAATGTAATTTAAGTGGTCAACCACAAAACAAGCATGTCTACTTTTTTGTGTTATGCCCAAGCATTTTAGTGGGGAGATGTCTGAATGTGAGAACTCAGCCTTTGAATCGTGCATGAGGTTGCTTGTTTAAGCTCTAGCAACTGGAGACTGTAAAAAGCCGTCACGGGGCAGTGGTGATGGTTGTACCTGTCCTTAAACAACTATTTCCAATATTTTCCATTTGTTTCAACTTATAGGAGGAAGGGGTGATAATTGACGGCAGTGCTGTCACTGATCAGCTCTGGGTAAGCTTGAATATGTAATAGTAGGAGAAATGTTGTGAACTATCGATAGATCATAAGCTGTTTTGGACTTCTGTGTATTCTGTATGTGTTTCCTCTTGTATTTTTACTGTCAGTGACATGATTAGATGAAATCCCCTTTTTCCTTCAATAAGCTTAAGGTTGGTGTATCATAATGTTAACTATAATATGGTCAATGACTGCTTCTTTTTTTTAAGCATACACATGGGAGTGCACAATAATTTCGCTGTTGCTCACTTATCAGTACACTATAAACTAAATGCATGCATTGTGTGGAGTGTGTGAGGTGTGTATTCAGTTTTGTTCATGCTACACTCCTAACTAAGTATTAAGATACCGGACTCCCTGAAAACACAAAAGGAAATGTGCATTAAAGGGAGTATTAATACGGTGATAGGCGATCAAAGACAGGAGTCTTTGATTGGAGTGTGGCGATTTGATTTTGTTCTCGTGTATCCTCTCCTCTCTAACTCTTGCTTTCTCTGCTTCCGTCTGTGTGTGTCTGCGTCCGTTTTCCTTCTGGCTTCGCTTTTGCTCCTGTCTATAGGAACCTGTCTATGCTTCTACTTATTCTCCTCCTCCTATACCTACTGGCCATAAATGTCAGTATGTTGTACCTTATAACCAGGTGAGGAAAGAGCCGCATGGGCTGTCAAGTGTTCAGTCTTTGACTCGACTGCCTGTGTGCCTGCCGAGTGGCTCTGGTTAGCTCCTGACATGCCTTTCTCTGTAGTTGTGCTTCATGCAAGTTGATATCGGACTCCTCAATTAAAAACAAAAAAAACTTCCAGACTGGGTATTTAAATGTCATAACACTGTATGCAACTCTTTTTCAAATAACACCAAATGCTAAGAGATGTTGCCTTAAATTAGATCCTTCTGTTGGTAATTTTGCATTGTTCGCTTCTTGTTGAAGTGCTAACATGAATAAAACCATAAGCTTATCAAATTTTTTTCCCTCTTAATAAATTTGTATTCGCTTTTTAGTAGATTATAGCGTTTACTAACATTTTAATATGTGGCTGATATAGCTTGTATTCTTTTGGATGGTTGTGGTGACCAATACACTGCGTTGGCATGTTGGCTCCCTTGATTTAAAATAGCCATCATCGGTTGCAGTAATGAATGTGTAAAAACCTGACCGCATTCTTAATCTGAAGCCTTTAGATAATGATTTTAATCAGAATTAGATATTAGGAATTGGAATTGGTTACGCTTCTAAAATACAAATCTGGCCATGTTTTGCCCTAGCTGCCACTGAGTGACTTAAAATCAGTACTTTAACTCTTAACTCTTGTTAAGTTGTTTTGTTTCTTTTGCTCTGCATTATCTGCAAAGTCAAAATAACTGATGAAAATGGTTATTTTGATTGAAGTTGCAGATAAAAGTACAGAGTATAATGTAGGAATACGAAAGCTGTATGTAAGTTCCAGTATATAGTTTTATACTGTATAACGCATAATTCCCATCAGCACTGATGTTACGGTTCTGTGCTCTTTTTTTAATTTGTATGCTCTTAGCCTTTTGAGTTGTAGAAGATGTTTTTCCACTTCCCCTTAAGTAAATAGTAAGCATGTCTTTGGTCTGCTTGGTTTTTGGCCATCCAGTTTTCCGATTTTTTGTTTTTCGTTAAACCATTTAAACCTTATAGTGAAATCTTTATTATGTTTTAGTGTTTACTAAATTGAAATTACTATTTTATTATTGCGGTGTATGGTTTTAGATAGAAATATGGAGAGAGGATTCAGAGGATTTGTATTTGTGATGAAAAATTGGGTGGAGTATTGCATTTTCTTTTTTAAAGAATGAAACGTTAGATGGAGCGTATGGAAGGCTTTGTTCTGTTTGGCTGTAGAGTGACTTCCTCTTCTGTGCCGAGGAAGTTCACAGAATTCTGCAGTTTGAAGTGCCGGCAGATGCTTTCGCGTCTGTGGTACAGGCTTGAGAACCACTTTAAAGAAGTGGGGCCCTTGTCATCGAGGCTCGGTGCGGCCACAGTCTGTTCCTGTGAAGGGCCTCTGAGGGACTGCCCTGACCTCTGCCTGCTCCCTTCCCTCACTGCTTTTCTCTCTGCTCTCTCTCTCCTTCCTCTTGGTTGTTCTTCCTTGAAGGTCAGTCCTCCCAGCGTTAGGGAGTCCAGCCCCCTGCAGGCGGATGAGCGTCACCCATGGCGATGGAAGGTGAAACGCACAGGGCTCACAGCATCCCCTTTGATTGTGATGGATTAACAGCACCTAACCCTCTTAGTTACAGAGCACGCCCCTGAAAGAGGAACACCTACTGTGTGTGTGTGGCTTTTTTACAAAGCAAAAAAGTCCTGAAAGTATAACACTTGTTACATTTGTGTATTTTTTGTGATTGTTTTTTTTTAGTGAAACCTTGAATAGCTTTATATTTCTGTGCATGTCGTGGTGTTTGACTTTAATCTTGAACCCTTCTTTACAGTACAGTCTGCAGTACCTACTGTATCAGCTGTTGGGGCTTCTGTTTTTGCATTTGTCAGTAGCAGTACACCGTGCAGAATGTGGAAAATACATTATGTACAGTCCTCTAGGATAAATAGTTTGCTGTGAAGGAGTGTAGAAATAACTTGTTTAATGAGCTTGAACCATGCAGACATTGGAGTATACGTCAACTCTGAGTGTATTGAGAATTAAATTATGTAAACTTGTCTGAGGACTTCTGCGTTGTGCAGCATCATAAGTGTTATGTGGCTGTCCAACATCATTTTTACAATACCTTCTACTTTTTGTTTTCTGTATTGTCAGAAATGTTTTTCGTTCACCTCAGAACATTTTAGTAGCATGTAGAACTTGCAGCGGGGAGATGCTCTGATTTTTTTTCCCCTGTAGTTAAATCTTTGGGTTCAAGCTAAATCTAATGCTGGTGAAATGGACATGGTGGTAGATCAAAGAAAGGAGGATTTGAAAAGCTCTTTTGGGGTGCTGTAGAAGAATTGAAATGAGATTAGTTTGAGCCCTTTATTATGCAGCTTTGTGTCCTTCAAGGCTTCCATGAGTCCTGTTGGCATTTCCCATCTTCGCCTCACTTGTTCATGTAGTAACTGAGAATTTTCTTTGCCAATTCAAATCGTGTCAAAAATGAAAAGCAAGAATACCAAGAAAAACAAAACTGTAATGCAGGCACATGTTGGAAGTATAATTCCTCTACGGAGCAAAATAAGAACAGTGTCCACTGAAGGAAAAATGTACTGTAGATAGAAATAATTGGTTACAGTGAAAATGAAAGGCCTTTGATCCGAGTGCAGTATCGGATGATAACATGAAGTTAATGCAAATGAAAGATACAGTACTGTTTAAACAGAATACACTTACGGTAGATTTTAAATTCATTCCCAACTGAGAATTGTTCATTACCAAAACCCCACATAATGATTCCTTCCCCTCAGGTCCTACGACTCTGTAACTGTGTGGTGTGCAGTACTGATGTGTTTTTACAAAATAATCTCAATCTGTGCAGAAAATAGTCCAGAGAAGGCAGTTACTAGTGAAACAAGAGAAACTTGTGCTTTTTTCTTTTTCCTCATTATTCTAATTAACATGAATAATATTTTTGGATTAGTAGATATGAGCAAAATCTTCCAAATGTTTATGAAAGTCAACATCAAATAAAAGAGCAATTATTCTATCTGGTTCTTTTTCGGTAAGAGGGATAAAATCAATTTTTATGCATTATTTAGCTTGTATACTGTAACCGTTTAAGCCTGAATCTAACAGCGGTGATGGATGTAATTTTTTGGTGGAAATTTAAAAAGGCAATAGCTGTGCATGTGTGTATACATTTCTTGTGTTGTGTTCAGGTTTATTTACCAGAGTCCATTGCTTGTAAATTTGTCATTCTGCATCTCTTCTGCATCAAGGTCAGGTGGCTTGCCTGATGGTCTTTAAGCAAGTGGTTTTAATTACTCTGTCATTTTTAATCAGAGAATGGGAGAGGAGATTGAAGCCCAAATGACAATTGAAGAGAGGAAGCAGCTAATTTCTGCCCGGGAGGAGGCCTGGAAAACAAAGGGCAAGGGGGCAGCTAATGACTCCACCCAGTTCACTGTTGCAGCACGGATGGTCAAGAAAGGTCAGAGGACACTGCTTTTCTTTAAACGTCCCCTACCCAAGAGCATTCCTGCTGCCCTGTTGTACAAGTTTAACATTGATGAGAGGTCCCCTGCTATGATCCTCAAGAGCTTCAGTCTTTTTTTTCCCTGAGCTTGGCAAAATGGATAATGTGATAAAACTGGATTATACTGCATGTCTGTTTTTTTACCCGTCTGAAGGATGTTGGATCATTTAACCGCTAGCAAGTCTTGATTTGAGTACACAGTGGTGTGGCAACCCTTTGTTTCTTGGTTGGTAAATGTGTTTGAGTCTACAGATTGTGTATTTCATACTCGATGAATGGAATTAGTGTCTTGTACATATACTGTACAGTCATGTTGTGGCTATCATTTTTGTGCCGTTTTCCTTTTTGAGAATATGAAACTAAACCGAATCCTTAAGATCTTTGTTTTTCTGACTTAAATGATAAAGTAGTTTAATGATGAAATACATGTAGGATGTCTGTTGTTCCATGTGCTCAGTTATATTTTCAGATCGCATGATGGAACCGACAGCTCTTTCTCAAAGTTTTGTTGAAAAATGGACGTGGATGTATACGACTACACTTTTCAAGTGCATCTCATAAATAAGGCATTTTTTCAAGCTTTTTGTTCACTGAAGGAATCCAAAAATGATATTTTTAGAATTTTGTTTACATACAGTATAGGGTGCGCGACATTAAGTTGTCAAATAGTGTGTTCTTGCAATTACGCCCCCGATGATATTCAATTCTGAATTTTATTTCTGCTGCAGGCTTGGCGTCCCCTTCTGCAATAAGTCCAGTGGTGTCACCTGTCTCGACCAGACTGAAGAGCAATGCAGCTGCTATGTTGAAACCTCAGGAGGGTAAGCAGTCGGAAGATACCCAATTTTCGTTTCCATATAAAGCCATTGACTTACTTTAATTAAAGGAAATGAAGCATCCAAAGAAACCACTTACAACTACAAGAACTTCATAGAGTTATCATAAAAAAATCTTTTGTGCACTCGTAGTTTGTTAGCCTTGATGTACTGTAGATGAATGAATTCTGATTAACGTTCGGCATTAACCAGATTAATCAACAGGTGGTGTACTATGCAAGTCGCAAGCTGGTCGTGCCTGTGTCCACCACTGGAAGCAATGCAGGCTGTATATCTGCTACACGTGCTTTGAATCAAGTTGCAGTTGCTGTCTTGTAGGAATCTGTTCCATTCCTCTTGTAGAATCTGGACAAGCTTGTGCCTGTTCATTGGTTTCCAAGCCCTGGATGGGGCTCAAATCTAGGAATAGGGCATGCATAGATCATTTGTTATTCCATGAGCTGCATAAGGACGTGTGTTGTGTCCTGCTGGAATACATACATCAGGATGAGACCATGTGAAGAGCAGCAAATGAGTTCTCAGGACTTGGCCAATGAAACTGTATTAAGGCATTGGTCGCTAGAAGGTACCATGCTATAATGTCTAAATCAGTGGTTCCCAACCTTGGTCCTGAACACAATCTCTGCTGCTATTCATTACAGCTGAGCTCACAATCTCCAATGGTAATTGAGGTCTTAGTTGATCTGCTTCCTTGTTTAGGCTTGCGTATACTGTAACTTGTTTTGTTGTTTTTGGGCATTAAATGTTCCCTATTTCAACAGTGCTGTTTCTCATAGCTTAACACAGCCTGCATTCTATTTGCTTGCTTTTATTTCTGGTTAAAGAGTTATTAATATTTGATCAATTTATGATGAACAGACACAGTGGGGATGACACTGTAGCGGATGCTCTCACAACGGTCTTATTCTTTCTGCTGAGGTCCAGTTGGTTATATTTCAGGCAAAACGCATGAATAAGGGCAATTCTGAAACTCAGAATTTGGTACAGAGATGATACCAATTACACCTCCCTTTTTGCCTTTTGTAAGAGCTGATGATAAAATTCCAAATGCAGCCCAAATAGAAATTAGCCTTACAACTTGTTTTAGTTCCAGCCAAGCTCTCGGTTACATACTGTAATTGAACCCTTTATTGAGTTAATAGGGTTAATTTAGAAGTAGTCCATCTCTCCCTGGGAAAAAAAATCTTGGAACACCAAGGGAAATGAGGCAGTTAATCTTAAACATGTTGGAGGTTGCCTTTCAACTATTGTATTCAATAAATCACAAACTTATACTCAAAATGAGCAGAAACAAAACTGCAAATATTCCAACTGAGCTACTTGTTAGTAGAATTAAGGCTTCAGTTAGGCAATTAAGCTCAGCTGGAATGAATTCCATCTGGTGTGTGGTTCTGGTCCTGACCAGGACTGGGGTTCCCTGGTCCACAGTCTTAATTCATCATTGAAAAGATCTTGGCTCAATTTTTGGCCATTGTACCTTTTAGGTGTTATTCCAAAATACCAATGGCACAAAGGCGGTTTTCTTGATAAGTGGGTTATGTTGGATCCTTGGAGTATTTTTTCATTGATTTTATTTTTCACCAGGCTTGGCCTTCAGTAGCTTAAATAACCTCATAGCCTTTGACCCATCAACTGTTCTGGTGATTTAGCATTTATGCACAAAGTCACTCAAGTGTATCTTGGTGAGTCATTAAATCAATCAAAAAGACACCGAGAATATTTGATCAATGTCCAAAATCCGTATACTTTATTTTTTAAATGCAGATATGTAGTTGGATGTTCCTTTTGATGCTATAGTTGAAGCATAAGAGTCTTGGATTTAGTTTGATTTCTGGTTATTTTCTCGTTAATCTACTATAGAGTATGTAATAAGATGCTGGAAATAACTGCATTTCAATTTGGTTTATTTTCTCACTGAATTAACTTTACTTTTTCCTTTTTTTCTATTTTATAAGAAATGGCGGAAACACCCGAAACAACAGCAAGTGTGTTTCTATCTTTCTCTTGATATTGTATGATTTGTTTTAGGTGTCTTTGGTGTGTTGTCTGTAACTTGGTATTGTACATTTAGTGCATATATAATTTGTATAGTTTTATGAACTAATGTAGAGGTATAAAGATTTTTTGGTCTTCTCTTAAAGATATTGAAGCCAGACCAGATATCCACTTGGAATCAGACAGAAAGCTTGATAAACTGGAGTCTTTCTTGGGGCGACTCAACAACAAAGGTAAGTGTTGTATTTAAGGTTAAGGAAGAAGAGTGTGTGTATACACTTGTATACAGTACACTATATAGCTTGCTTAAAAACGGCATAAAACGAATAAGCATTTTAGATTTCATAAACTATTCTAAAGGCATTCATTTACAACCTTTCCTAGTCTTTGATAGTTTACTTTGCTAGATTAGAGAAACCAACACAACTTTGAACCACAACGTAAAAACAATTTAATTTGTTATGCCATGTGCCTGGCTGGAGTTTTTCTGCCTAGTCTTAACTCTAAGGGATATTTTACTTCAGATTTAGCCTCTGGTAAACATTTTATATGGTGGTATCAGCAACTCTGTTTTATTTTCCATAGCATTGCAGATAACTTTTTAAGACCACTTTAATTACTTTTTGCCTTTGGAATTGTAATTTTGGATATTGATGGATTGCTTATCCTGGTTTTCCTTTTCCTATCCTGGATCAGTGGCTAGCTCACAGGAGGCAACACTCTCGGTAACTGAGAAGACAGTGAAGGAAGTGATGACATTAGACGACGAAGTATTCTCCAAATTCTACCGTCATCTATCCGATTTCCCCCATATGTCCAGCAGGATTGAGATTGATGATGATTTTGATGACATCTTTGGTACTCAAGCACCAAAGTAAGCAAAACTTTTAATATTTTTTTTCAGCAATGTACAGTGTATGTATAATGCTTAATTCTTGTAATTGCTGTATAGCAAAAGTAATGCTGGGAATTTGAGAACCATTTGTAAGCTTTGAATCATACTGTATTCAACTTTTGGGGGAAATATCATAAACTTTGCACATTTTAATGATCCTAAATTGATTTTTTTTAATCCACTGTCATCCGAGAAGCAGAATTGATCCATTTTTTTTCTTAAACTGCTTTTCTTCATTTTGCACTCTCCAAGGTGATTGAGATCCAAATGAGAACTGTCAGCACGCTTGAGATTGATTATTCTGAGGGAACCGTTTTTAGCATCGCTGTTAAAAATGGGCATTGAGCTAATAGCTCAACCTCCAGAAACTAATCCAACAGAAAATTCAGTGGGAAAATAATCGTCAAATCCATTTGTAGCTGAATGAATGTGCTTCCAACCATAACAAACTTCAGGATTACATTTGACTAAGCTATGGGAACAAGCGCTGTAAGAATATTAACCCTTTAGGGAGCTACCTAGTTTCATCATTCAGTTCTGCCTTTTCATTCAGTTTCATTCTTAGTTCTTTCATTTTGTTTTACCTTTTCCCATCTTCCTCCCATGATGTAAAATGCTTCTGTGCATTATGGTAGCTCCAGGAATTAGGAGATCCAGGTTTCTGCCTCCTGCTGTTAATGCCGTCTCTACCTCACAGGCTAACCTCCGCCATGGTAGAACATAAGCGTGCAGTGAGGCCCATGCGCAACGTCCAGTCCTCCAAAAACCCCCTGAAGCTGCTGGCTGCCCGGGATGACATCCGCCATGAGTACACTGAGCAGCGGCTCAACGTTGCCTTCTTGGAATCCAAGAGGATGAAAGCGGAAAAAAGTAAGATCTTGGGACTTTTGTGATAAACCAAGTGGTGGATTTGTTAGGACACCGAAAACTGGGGACGAGGCACTTGCTCGAATGTTTGGCGATATGTGGCTGCCTGATGTTAGAAATGAAGGCATTGTGCTCCAGGGAGTGGAGTGCCATGAGTGCTTGGCCATTTAAGGTCCCCTGGCAGTATTAGAAAGCTTAGGGATTATAAGTTTGCTGTTCTGGCTACATTTTTCTTTGGGCTTACACTTCAGCCTCCATTAGGCTCTAAAAAGATCTTCCTAAAGCTTTTGGTGAAACAGTTTCTCATCTCTTCGCCTGATATGGTGTGCAGTGGCTACCATGCGCCCCCCAAGTGGGTTCTTTGAATGGGTTCCCTTCCCATGTTAAGTCTCCTGGTGGATTGCAAAGAGCTACAGTACATGAATGCATGGCTTGTGTGCCTTTGAGTGAGCCACTATATAGTCCTTTTTATGGGTTTTGTTTTTGTTTGCATTTTTCAACTTGCATTTTATGGCTATAAATAACATTGTTGGATAGCACTGGTATACAGTATGTTTGCTAACTTGTTAGGGGTGTCCTTTAAGCAAGTTAGAATAGAAATCTTTTGTGCAACGTGGACTTTTTCACTTTCTTGCGTGGTTCTTACCTTTTGCAGCCAGAATAAAATGTACAGTACAGGTATGAGAGCCCACAAAGCCAAAATCTGTCACGTCTTTCCTTATAGAATAAGTCAATTGATGAGAATTTTAAGTATCTATAGATGATAGAGTAATCAGACATTTTTAGAATATTATGTTATTATATTAACATATATTAATATAATCTGTTAGAGTTAGACTTTCTCCATGTACTCAAGGCTAATGTTTGTTGGAGGAAGCAGCCTGTAAGAGAGGTGAAGTGTTCATGACACTGTTATCTAATCCTTTTAGCTTACTACCTTTAACCAGGAAAATGTTAATTGCGAGAGGCCCTCATTATCAAGAATGGCTTGGCTAGCGAGGAGAAACTCAATGTGAAGTGAAATCTGCAAAGAAAAAAAAGTCTGTGTGCTAAACTATGTTGAAACCTTCTACTCTGCAGTCCAGAAGAGGCTAAAATCAATGAAAATCATTTGATTAAAGAACCCGCTATTTAATCATTTATTTATCGGCTATTTTACTGTTTGATTACATAGCTTCAATCTCTGTCCATTGCGAAATCGTCCGTTTTACAGTCGGGTCAACATTAAGTGTTCTATAAAAATCTGAAACTTCCAGAAGTTTTTAAAAATGTTTCTTACTGTATTTTGTAGTGAACAAGAATTCAGGATACTCTGAGGTGGCACTAGCTGGACTGGCAAGCAAAGAGAATTTCAGCAGTGTCAGCCTTCGGAGTGTAAACATCACCGAGCAGATGTCCAACAACAGCGCTGTGCCCTACAAGAAACTCATGCTGATGCAGGTCAAAGGTAGTTGTTACACAATGTAATCTTGTGTTTTAAGCCTGAATGTCCCAACACTCTGTTGCAAACTGCTTCAGATAATACGGAAAAGGCATTAATGTGTGTTTAAGATGTACATTGTGGAGAGGGGCAGGTTTGCTGGTTTGTTCTCTAATGATTTGGAGATGAATAACATCTTAAAGATCACCGTCCAAGCAGTGCAGAATGCATCTCCTTGTCATCTCCACCAGTGTCTGTCAACTGGTGTCACCAGTGTCAGTCAACTTGAAGTGAAATGTAGTTTTAAAACCTAGGCTTGTTCTACCACAAGATATCTGCCCCCATATTGCATAAACTGTTGGACAGTATTTTCAGTAGCAACAGGTTCCATCCACTTCTTCCAGAGCCAGCTGGTGGTGCAGATTTATCTCCGATTCAATGCACTAGGTACAAAATGGAGCACCATTTTCACCGCCTAGTGAGCCTGCTGATGATTCCAGAGCTGTTTGTCAACATATGGAATAACAGTTTGCACTAAAAAGGGGCTCATGCTTCCCACTCATCAATGTTTTTGGTGGCGATTCCAGATTAACTTTGTGCCTGGCATTAACCCTGTGTAATGTTATGGGGACCAAGATGCAGAACCTACAGTAAACTCTTGAATGGTTGAGGCATGTACACTGTTTGAATAATTCTTCATCTTTTTGTCAATTTATTTAGTGGGATGTCCTATTCCTAGCCCCTACAGTATGTCCGATTATAATCCTTCTATGCAATGCCATGCGTTTTTGGAGGCAGTATATTAAGGAACTTATTGGCCCTGCCAATAGTTTAGTTTTGCAGGGGAATTTCTTAGGATATCCTGCTCAGCAGGCTGCTACCACTGTGACTAAAGCAGACTTGTTTATATTGGTTTTCATCCATATGGAGTTATGGAATCTATTTTTATCCAACATCCACTTTTTCCAACTTCTGTGTATTAAACTTTTTTTTTTGATACCCAGCTCTGTACAGGAACCACACCTTTCAATTTGATTTTATTTTTGTCCAGATTGATTCATTCTGGCTTAATACTCAAAATCCAGTAAGGCATGGTGGCTTAGAAGCAACATGTCACTCATATCAGTTTATTTACAATGTTTTAATGCAATTCATGTGAGAAGAATCCTAATGCTTAGATTCCAAATTGCTTCAGGTATGGTGACTGAGCTCTGTGAAGAATAGTACCAGTGGAAGTGTATCATTCTTTTCTGTTTGGAAATAGGTAGGCGGCATGTGCAGACAAGACTGGTTGAGCCACGAGCATCATCGCTGAACAGTGGAGATTGTTTCCTGCTGGTGACACCTCATCACTGCTTCATTTGGATAGGAGAGTTTGCCAACGTCATTGAAAAAGCTAAAGTAAGTTATTTTCTTCACTTTTGTTCTTTGACGGTGTGGCTAGAATAATTACTTTTTAAAGTAAAATGTGCTTACGGGTACACGGGAAATTCTTAATTTTAACTCGGTATGTACAGTACAGCAAGCTTCAGTCTGTAATCTGCTTTTGGTCCGAATTGAAAGCGGAGAAACGCAGGTTTCAGGGACTCAGGGACTGTCTGAGGAAAGATGGGACATTGGGCTTCTCTAGCTGCAGCTCATCCCCATGGCTTTGTCAGTCGTGCTCAATGGCAAAGCAGAAGATAGCTGTATCATTCACCACAGTGCTGGTTAAAAAATGGAAAGTGTGCAAGCTCTCTTGGAGAGCAGGTGTTCAGAACTGAGATGCTCCAGTCGAACAATTGTGAGCAACGGCAGTTGTTGCATCCTTTTTTTTAGTTCTGTTCCGAATTCCTCTGTGAAACATTCTTCAAGAATAGTATGGCTTACATTTACATGAGATTTGAGTTATACCAGTTAAAGGGTTTCAGACCCCATGATATACAGAATAAGGGTTTTTGCAATTTGTTGGGGATTTTCTTAGGAAATCCTGATCAGCAGGATACTACTGTGACTAAAGCAGACTTGTTTATATTGGAGAGATTCATAAGCTGTTCACTTTATTCAGTTGAGGTTTGCAAACATGTGGAATAGTAACATGTTTGCAAGGCACAATATGCTATTTTTATGTGGAAAGGCACATTGGATATTTAAAATCAGGGAAAGTATTTGCATATATGCAAATAGTTTATTTGCTGAATGTTCAGTGCTGGACTATTTTACAATGTTTCAGTTGTGAGTAGTGAGTGCTGAACATTTGTTCAAGAAGGAAGTGTTAAGTTTTCTATTTGAAGTGCAGGAGTTAATTCTGAGGCAGGAATAATGCTATTACAATGAAGGAAATGGCCTGCTTGGATACAGCGGCAGGAAGCTGCTGCTGATCCACATGATATCCTTTTGTTCAAAACGGGCTCTGGCTTGGCGCACTTGGTATTTGTGAGGACCGAGAATATCATTAGTATCGGGCCTGTTGTCAGTATTTTTTCATTATGTTTAAGTGGTTGGTGGTGATGTTTGTGGTAGAACGTATGCAGATGTGAATAATTTAGTAACAAAAGGTGCAGGAAGCAATTAATGAACATGTTGAAAGTTTCTCCAGTTTGTCTGCTCAAGTTAATGAGGATCTTGGGTAATAAAATGGTTGAATCACTTTTCCCCATCTCCATTTCTGCCTTAGGCTTCAGAGCTTGCTACATTCATCCAGACTAAACGGGACCTGGGTTGTAGAGCAAACTATGTCCAAATCATCGAGGAGGGAATTAATACTCACAGTCATGCAGCAAGGGAGTTTTGGAATCTTTTAGGAGGGCAGACCAATTACCAGTGTAAGTGCTGTTTTGATTTGTTTATTGGATGTCATTTATATATACACACAGACACAAAGCCTTCTAAACAAAATGTTATTGCAGCTCGGCAATGACCTAAAATATTGCTGTCCCTTTCGAGTTCCAGATCTATGCCACCTTCTCCCACAACAAAGTCCTGAATAATTAATTAAGTCTGTGAAATCACTTTTTGTTCTACTGTGGTCCAAGAATGTGTGAAATGCATTAACTTTCAGCTCTCGTAAGAGTTCCAAAAGCCTCCATCCTTTCTTCGCTTGTGTCCCGTAGCTGCTGGAAGTCCAGAGGAGGATGAGCTGTATGAAAGTGCAATAGTTGAGACCAACTGTATTTATCGCCTTGTGGATGACAAGCTGGTCCCTGACGATGATTACTGGGGGAAGGTGCCCCGTTGCACTCTGCTGGACTCCAAAGAGGTCTGTAGTTGACTTTCACGCGTCTACCCAGAGCTGACCACTCTTTAATATTCTCCTGATATTCTTTTTGGAAATACTGTATGTGCCCTATGCCACCTCAGTGGCTCTTTGTTTTGTGAAGACAATAGCAGATGGCAGGATTAGCACCCCTTCATTACTGTAGGATATGGTAGGAGCTTGTGCTTATGTGGGTTGGAAATACTGCAATATGTAAACGAGAGAAAAATGTTTCTTCTCGTTTTGGACCTCCAAGTACAAAAAACGCAAGCCTTCAAGTAGGCACATTGATTTGTTTCCACAGGTGCTGGTTTTCGACTTTGGCAGTGAGGTGTACGTGTGGCATGGGAAGGAGGTCACACTGGCTCAGAGGAAGGTGGCGTTCCAGCTGGCAAAGTACCTCTGGAACGGCACCTTTGACTACACCAACTGCGACATCAATCCTCTGGACCCTGGAGAATGCAACTCTCTCATACCAAGGTTGGGAATATCCTTTCTTCTTTTCTGGACAGTGTACATCAGGAAGACTGTTGGGGCCTTTCACACACACACTGTATACAGTGGAGAGGGCCTCTTGCCCTGTCCTTCAATAGAATGTTTTTATGAAAATCTGTAGGTTTGATAACAATGGACTCCCCACCACATTAGATGGCTCATATTCCCATTGTGTTCTCCTTATGGATGAGTAACCTCAATAAAACAGTTCTGATTTACTAGGTACAGTAGCTGATTGAACTTGTGAAGTGTTATGTTTCAGAGGTGGTGTCGTCTGATAATTAAGATTAAAATAACATGGCTCGTAGTTTTTGCTTGCTGAAATTTATTTTTAAGGGTTAAATGTCTGTATGTATGAACGATATAATTACCAACTACCCTTTTATCATACTTATTGATAATTTAAAATGGTGTTAAAAAGCATACTTTAAATGTTGAGTCTATTATTTTCCAAATATTGTAATTGCTTTTTTTCAGGAAAGGGCAGGGGCGTCCTGACTGGGCCATCTTTGGCAGACTTACAGAGCACAATGAAACCACTTTATTTAAGGAAAAGTTTTTGGACTGGACTGATTCAAAAAAAGCACCACCAAAGAATGGAAGTGAGCAAGTCAGTGAACAGAAGGTAATTCTGAAAAATGATCTCTTAATACAAAAGCACTAGAATACATTTTCGAGTTTAAGACTTGATTAAATTTTTAATCCTTTTTCTTAAGGTTTGTAAGAAATATGAAAATGTAACATGGTTAATGGTCATTTTAGTGTCCATCCATCAAAAGGGCAACAGAACTGTATCATGTAATTGGAGACCAATAAGTCTCTTGATAATTCTGTCAGAGAACCTTTAGTATGGATTAGAAATATATGCCTTTCTTAACATGTTAGAGTTCTTTGAACAACTGCAGTAATGTGATCAAACAGAGCATACGACATGGTATATTAAGATTTTTAGGAAGCTATTGATAAGGTTAATCATTATTCATCTTCTATCAAATTTCTTAGAAATACATTTGCATTAAGAACTGGTTAATGTGTAGAAAAGGGGGGAATGTGTAATGTTTTAAGTACTGCACGAATGTATATTTGGAACAGTGCCTTTCATCCTTTACCATGTAAAAACTAGGTCATTAATATAAGTTAGTCAAGTATTTAGATGATGCCCAAATAAGAGGATTAGCAAACATGTTGAAACTGCAAAGTAGACAACCGGTAGATTACATTTAATTATAGACAAGTACAAAGTGTCGCATGCAGGTATTAAAAACATAGAAAATGTAAATAGTCTATATAGTCAAAATCATAGAATTTATTTAAGGGGACATTATTTAAAAACAAACTGATGTTCTGGAGTCAGTCAAAATATTTTCTCGGGCTCCAAGGAATGTCATGCAGTATATTGACGGTAAAATTACATCCTTTTAGTCATGAAATAAGTTCCCTTGTCATCCATTATTATCTGCGCCTTTTAAATCTTTATAATTAAGTGAAGCGCAAGTAGAGAACACATGGAAACTACATGGAAGTAGTTTTTCCTGGGATTCAAGAAACGATGGGACTAAGATCTAATTCTCAGCAATTATATAGGCTTTGTGGGCCAAATGTCGGCCTCTCAAAAGAAAGATTGCTATCTTTATTGGATTCTTATGTTTTAACAGGCATTATGTAGATGGTCATGACTTTAGTTTGGCCATACATCTCCGTATTATAAGGCATGGATTCTCGATCAGTCCAAAAGGACCCTTGAGAGCAAGGTGTCAGCTTTTGGCATCTGA